GGAGAGATGTCAGTGAAAGGACACAATAACCTAAAGCTGTGTTTTTGTAAGTTCTTTCAAACAGATACTTGTAGCTATACCTTTTATTGTGCAGTTTTCAGGAACGGACGGTGAAAATATCGACACTAATATATAGGAAGAAGATCCGAACTACTTCGTTATGTTACTCGATACTTTAGAGGGATACTGCCTCACGTCACCTACCAGATGGTTGGATGAAATTCTTAAGTAGAGTACTTAGCGAAAGCTAACCATTCTTTTTAATTTATAGATATCCTACAAGAAATTTGTAAGAACAACATTTAGTTATTATCCAAATATTAACCGTGTTTAACAATTAAAATATTACACTTGAATAGGCAACACATGTTGCATTTAACCATTATTGGAAATTGTTTTGTTCAACTTTATCTATAAAAAAATTCTTGTACACAATAATTGTTTCAAAAAAATTCGAATTTCGATTTGAATGAACTCAGATAAAAGTTTATTGATTAGTAATGTAATAAATAATATGTATGCATTTTTATTTTTGGTTAACAATTATTTTAATAGGAAGAATTATTCTGGTATCTCCTTATAATAAATATTATCATAACGCAAGTAACACTAGATTTATCATAAAACAAGTATCAAGTATCACGAGATTACCACATAGATCAACGCATGACACGATTGACCATTATTAGAAACATACCATTTTTTTTTTAAAAAAAAGGATAAAATTCGTATCACTAATTATTATATTTAAACACCAGTTCAAAGATTTAAGATTTAATTATGCGTGAATAAATATTTACTACTACTCCTCCTTATTTTTTTTTCACGTAATTTATCTTACATACCCTTTATCTATTTCTATGAATTATAAATAAAAATTATGTCCGAAATGGAGAAATATATTGAAACTAAGGTTTCAATAGAATATGAACAACAAACAGGAGAAACCATTATTATTGAAAGTGAAGATAAAACAAATGGTAATATTATTATTAAAATATTTGATGCAATTAAAAATTATAAAAATGTAAGATCTATTAAAAGTAAAAAATATTCAAGTAAAAGTGTGTTAAGTCATGATGATGACATCATTAGTGAGAAGGAAGATTTTCAAATCGCCATTTCTCAAAGTGGAAGATTCGTTGCTACATTTGATACAGGTAATTATTATTTGTGATACAGTATAAAATGTCAAATATATAATAATATTTATATCATCATAAAATTAGCAAACCTTCGAATTAAAATATTGGAAAACACTGATCATCGCCCACTCAGTATTCCTAAGGTGGAGGATATGGATTCCAATAAGTCTGATATAATTGACAAGACAATCGTACATTTTAAGATAAGAGATCTTAATATTGATAAGTTTTACACTGAAGGTTTCACCTCTTCTCTATATAAAGAATCTCGAGAGCAGAAAAATGTAGACATAACAGTGGATATCAGCAATGATAATGATTCTTTTAACAATTTTGAAAAAGATGAAGTGATCGAGGATGAAAAGTTTAGATGTTCTTTCGATATATCAAATGTGTGCATGAATAATAATAAGCATTTTATTTTTGATGCCGTATCTTGTATAGATGATGAAGATTTAAGAGGAACAACAAAAGAAACAAATGAAAAAAGAGGAACTACTATCATTTATCCCATTAAACTGTTAAAAGATGAAAAAGAAAATTATATCATACTCGTGGAATTGGAATTTCAGGTATATGTAGATTTGTGGAATATTGTGATGATAGTGAAAGTTCCGATCCAAGAATTTATGTGACTGATAACAAATGTTTTGTTTTAAAGAAATTCGTAATATTGAATTTTCATGGTATACATAATTTTAATTGTAACGACGGTTTTCAATAAGTAGGAAATTTAATTATACAAAATGTATCAGACGTGAATTAGGTTCATTAGGTTCTTCAGAAATATCGGGTTATATGGATATACTTCTCTCTTGTGTTTACGATAAATATTTTCTGGTTGAGCAATATAAAAATAATGTACAATTGCTTGAAGGTAATAATCAAATTTTTTTCAAAAGTTTATCGTCACATTATAAACATTAATTTTTTTAAAAAATCTTTTAGTTTACGGTAGTCGAAAATAGTTAAAATAAACTTACAAGAAAATATAATAGAAATATTTTCTCAGTTAGTAAGAACAAATTATACCTTTGCTTTACACGAGGAATTCAATCTATCAAGTGAGTAGTAATTCACGTTTCACGTATTAAGTTTCACGTATTAAATTTCACGAATTAAATTTCACATTGAAATATTCAATAAACTAAAATTTATTATTGTTTACTTTCTTAAGGTTATACTTTTTTGAAAAATGGTCTTGAATCCATCTCAAAAAAATTTGATGATATTGAAAATACTTATTCATTAGTATTCATTGAAAAGGATAGGAAATTTGTAATTGATAGTGGCGCTGAAGATGAGGAAAATTTAAAACTTATAATTTGGGATATGTATAATGCTGTAGAAACTGAAACGATAGAATTAGATGATTTTCTTACGACATAAAATATTGATACGAACAAAACAATTGGAAAATGTTGAAAAATCTTTTCCTCTTCCTCTTCCTCCTGATTTAAGCTACTTTAAAGGTGAAAAACTTGATGGAGGACTGGATAAAAGGCATATTATACATTATGATAAAAATACAAATCCATATTTCAAACCAATAGTTGTTGAGAAAGAATCATGGGTGTTAGGTGATTATGATAGACAATCTTATTGTCTTTACCAAAATAAAAATGGATCAGTGATAGAAACTATACAACTTATAATTGGTAGATCTACTGTCCAAATTTGTGTAGAGCCGAGAGAGCCGAGAAATCCAAGAAAAAAAAAATGGGTGTTAGTAATCGTCTACTAATGCCCAATTATTTACATAATGAATTCAACGATCCGATATCGACACCAAACGCCAAGGAGACTACTATCCGATGTCCATGTCAAGAGCTGGGTGACCTAGGGAAAAGAGAATTAAAAAAAAAATATTTTGGGTGGGCAGTAATAAAAAAGTCAAATTATACATTTATTATGGCACCAAATCAATTCTGATGATAAAAATATAGACAAAGACAAACTTCTTAATAGGGGTGTACCATTTCTTGAATATATAAAATGGTATTCCCGTAATTCAAGAGAGTCCTAGAAGAAATCGAAATGTTTGAATATAGACCGAATGATGGAAAAATGAGAGATTTTTATTTAAAAGTTTATTGGTATGAAAAAGTATCAAAAGAATTTGAGAGTGGTGTAGATGAAATAACGAAACAAGAGAATGAAATAGTAGCAGAGGATGAGGAAAGGAAGGAAAAAATAATTCGACGGCATGAAGTTCTTAATAAAGCTAATGCAGTCAAATGCGCATGAAAAAGCATTGGAATATATCAATAGGTGCATAAAATTTCTTGTAAATTATGTTAAAGAACATCGCGTAAGTGTTTATTGTATACATAACGATTCTTAACGAAAAATAATTGATTTTTTTCTTTTTTCTTTTCTTTAATAAAGTGTGAGGAAATGGTTGTATATATTAATCGTATAATATGGAGATTTATCAAATACAGGCCTGATGATTTTAAATTGCTAGATATTAGACATAATGTTATGAAAAATTTGATTCTTGATGATTGTGATCATTTGATAAAATTTATATTATTTGGGAATGATGATGATGGTAAAAAAGCCAACAAGTTACACATACCGAGGAATATATTCTGGAAAAAGAAAAAGTATGTAGATGATGACACTGAAAGTGAAAAAATAACGAATATTATGGAATTGGCAATTTATCATTGCAAAGGTAAATTAATTTGTATTATATTATTGGAGAACATTGATTCATAATACCTTTTTTTATAAACTAAGTCGTGAAATTAAGACACCATTATTGTTGCCTATCTTTTGGAATATTATTCCATGCATGCAAAAGATTATGCTGGTTGGATGAGTACCATTTCTAAGGCGCTTCCTCTATTATTTAAATATCACTATTGTTCGTTAATTTTAATTCTTTTTTTGATATAATACAAAAAAGATTGAAAACTTAACAGATGATTATGTTAAAGAATGTTTTGCGAATTAAAATTACAAGATCCATACAATATTATACAAGAAGATATCTAGAATTGCGTAATCTTGGATCTCAATTTAGAGCGTTTGAATTCATGGTACGATGTTACTTGGAAAATATTAGATTATTTTAGAATTAAAATGTTAAATTCCTTGGAGACTTTGATAACAAGGACGTTGAGAGGCAAACATTAGCTTTACAAGTGGTCCCACTTCCTGAATTTACTAGAAATCGTATTCCACAGCAAGATAAATCAAAGAAAAAAATTTCTTAAATGTTTTATTGTTCTTATTCGTACCATGATAGTATAAAATTGGTTAGAATGAAAAGAATAAATTGAGCCCTTTTGCTAGAGTAGTGCAATATGAAAACAATGATGATATATATGACAATCCAACAACCGAAGCAATTATAGACTTTCGTCGGCAAAGAGCGAGAACTTTCTTTTTTTTTCCTCTTTCTCCGATTACTTCTCTATATCCTTTGTTTTGGATTAGTTAGTTGGGCATATTTGGATCATAGTACTGTTATAAATGTAGATTTTTTAATTACATTAATTGTTGTATTCTACTATTTAGCAGTTTATTTATCCGCTAGAAAATATTTTGAAAGCATATATAATATTTTTGATATATTTTCGATTAACTTCCTGTAATAGTTATGTTAATAATGATTGGAGATTTTCGTTATTCTAATGGCTTTGGGTTGGTAGCTTTTGCAGTTTTTTTCTTTGGATTAAAGGGGTTAGTCCTTGGGTTTGTAATTTTACACTGAAGTTAATAAGCAAAATTTAATATTATTATTTTATTTTATTTTATTTTTTTAGATTTCGTAACTCCACTTAATACCAAGTAAATATAAATTCTGAATGAATTACAAAAATGACGAACAATTATTAATTATTGGTCTTTATTATTTTTTGATAGATATCGCCATTTACATTTACTATGTTATTATAATTACAAAAACCGTGTTTCCATTTATTTTATTTAATGCCGTCGTAATACTTGCATTTGCACATACAATGTATTGCATTTTAGTTTTTAATTGATTTGTATTTATTTTAAATATAATCTAACAAAAAAAAAAAAAAATAATTTATTAAATACATAGGTACATTTTACTTACAGAGTCAAAGAAAACTAAGGATTCATTTAATGGAACTACTACGAATCCTTTGAACGGTCAAGAACTTAATGTCAAAATGAAAGCTAATTTTGATTCTACAGATCGGAACGATAATCCATTTTCGTATTATCCTACGGCAATGGTAGCTACATATTTTTGGCTTAATGGAGATTTTGTTCAGAGAGACTCGTTTGATTTTTGGGCTGTTGAAGTATTTTCCTTGATCGCTAGCATTCTTTTAGTAACTATTTTGCAAAATATGTTGATCACTTTTATGGCTGTCTCTTATACACATCTAGATGTGTATAAGAGACAGATATAATATAATTTCATTAATTTTTTTTTAGTGGTGTATACGAAGAAGCAGCTACTAAAGGCAGACAAGCTTTATTTCGAGCAAATCAAATAGCAAATTATGAAGCATTCTATCATCTTAATTTTCCACCGATTGAACATGATCCAAAATATATTTATTATATTGGACAATCAAAAAATTTTGAAACATGGCGTGAAAATAGAAAAGATGATGGAGCTATTTATAAAGGTTTTGAAGAAAAATCAACTTTTACAAAATTTGTTTTTGAAGAAAAAGATTATGATAAATTTTCAATTTGGGTTATTGAAATTGAAATCAATAATATCAAAAAAATGAAAAAAGATTTAAATGATAATATTGATAATTTATTAAATAAACTTAATGATCAAAAAAGGGATGATAACGCTGAAAAAATTGATAAGAAAATTGAAGAAATTGAAAATATTAATAATGTTAGTGGTATTATTGAACTTCTTATTAAGAAAACTTAATAATTTATAGTATGTACAGTATATTATAAATATTGTACAGTAGTTTTAATATGTTTATGTTTAGTATATCGTTTTTTTTTCAATCTTGTGATTATATGTTTATGTATTTATTGTATTTATATATTTTCTGTATTTATGTATTTATATGTATATTTAAATTTAAAAATTTGTTGTATTATTTTATTTTTAATTTTAATCCTTTATTTTTTTTTCTTTGCAAATTTAATTTTCATTTGATAAATCTAATTTTTTATAATAAGTCACGAGACAAATTGGAAAAATTGACCAGCTTTAGGACTAATTCAGCCAAAAATTAGCCATGCTAATTTTGGCCGAATTGGTCACTCAAATGACGACTTGATCAGTATTACCCCCACAATCGTAAGGTGATAAGTCACTACAATATATAATGATATAAATAAGCATCCGAATTGACCTCATACCCATTCATCTGCAAATGGTTAGATGTGCATCAAATCACAATACTTTAAACCCAGAAGATCACACCTGCGAACACGACATTAATTCTTGCAACAGAGCTTTTCGAGGAGACCAATTTACACGAGCAAACCTTGCAAAAGTTTGGTGGTTTTAGGTGTTAATAAATAGGCAAAAAAAAAATTGTGAACTCTATCCAATCAAAACCTTTAAATGGAAGCTTGCTGCGGGAAAAATGTACTAGTTCTTTACATCATTTAGCTCATCTACATATGCCTGCGCAAGAAAAATCAGTGTGACATTTCGTGACGTTAATCAATATAAATACAACACCGTACAATATCTATATTATCATATGGCTAATCATGCTCAAATAAACAATCGTCAATATTAATATACTGCGTATCGATAAAAAATCTTCTTGAATCACTGAAAGTTTATGTCAAATAAGAGCCTCGACATACCTTATTTGCGTAATGTTTCTGATTATTTTGATCGGCACCCTCATACGTGTAGCTGATTTTCTATTGATAAATTTTTTCATAATTGTATTTGATCCTTGAAACATCGCCGACTCACAGTTCGTAGTATCCAACAATATATATACACTGTACTGTATATCATGTAATCATTATTGGCAGTGATTTTTGTATAAACTTCATATCAAATCCACAAAAATGGAACGGTGATGAAATGGTACAATGGGAGTCGAAAATGAGATGGAGAGAGAGCATTATACTATGTTTCGATTACTATGTTTCTTTATGATTTTGAACATGATGACTTGGAATATGCGGTAAGTTTAATTTCCTATCTTTGGTAATTGCGTTTGAAACAATATTCTGTATTTTTAAATGCGACTTCAATCCATTGACTTAGTACTATAACTTAGAACGGTGGTTTGATGATGTTTATTTGTTTGAAGTAACACTAATGTCATTTTTTCATTTTCAGGGATGTGTATAGAATACGATGCATGAAGTAAATTTGATTATTTAAATTACCATAAATTTTTTTTCTTCTAGGAATGGTTTATTTATAACGCTTTCTATGGCTCCGATTTTCTTTATTTCTCTTTTTTATAACGTCAGGTTCTTTATTTTTATCAATAAAAATCAGGAGGTTCTTGAGTTTAATTTTTTTATAAATTCATGTTTATTTTTTTTAATAAAAATCTGAGTTCTTAATTTATTTTAAAGTTATCTGTTATAGAATCCAACTTCTGTTGAAAAAAACACAAAGTTTATTTATTTTATTTTTTTTCTTTTTGCAATATATAATAATATGTATATGATTTATTATTACGTACAAATAACACGATTATACGTACAAATAACACGATTATGATAATTCGAAGTTTGATCAACAGTTACACAGAAGACAATTACACAATATATTAAATACGAAAAATATAATTATTCTTTCCCATAAATTTACCTGTTCATTTCTACGTGTCAAAATAAGTTGATTACATAACATAGTTCGAACTTTCAATGCAATAAAATTTATGAATTTGTGAATTAATTAATATTAATTTTAAAAAAAATTTGATAGTTTAATTTTGAATATGAAAACACATGCCGTAATATGAAACCGTGACATGCTGCGCCAGATCTATTTCGTTACTGTGCACATTCCGATAGGCTAATCCAATTCCGATTAACGAAATTTTGTTTTATAATTTATTCCACTGTCATGGTAATTATTATCGGAAAATTTTAATAAAGAAAATAATATTGTTTTACAAATTTTTAATTCGAAGTACACTATCACTAACATCTGTCTATAAAAAAAATATTAATTCATAAAATTATTTTACATTATCTTATCATTCAAATAAACTGCTGTGCAGCGACGATTAGGAGCTGCGGAGCCGCCGTTACTCTGCGCCGCGCTTCGCACGTTGCGACGGCTCTATAATTTGTTGGATTAGCGCGGCTGTTCCATTCTCAGAAATGAAAGACCTGGTATAATTGGCGTTTGATTTTACTTTTCTTCTTCCGGAATACATGGAGATGAGGCCCAACGACAGGTGCGAATATGGCTACTGCTTACTAGTATAATTGGAATTGTAATTTTAGACGAAATAGTAGTAAACTTAAGTTAACTTACTGATTTTTTTTGTAATAATTCTATTTATAGCTGTAAAAAAAGTATATTATATAAATATTACATAAATATATCATATTTATATTTTTATCTCAGTTACCCTGCGGGATATAAAAATTGCATGAACGTCCCGTCAAACCAATAATAAATAATTATTTATTTACAGTTGTTTTCATAACTTACACCATACCGCTGTACTCGGGAATATAATGATATAATATTTATAATATAAAATCGATTCTCATACAAAAACCTATAAAAGTCATCAATCTTATAAGCGGACCTTCACATTACAATAATTAAAATATTTCATATGTATTATAATACATAAATAATCAAATTTATTTAATTCTCATATGTACAGTACTATTAATAAATATATTTATAAAAAAAAGTATCCACAGAAATATAAAAATAAAATAAGCTACAATAAATTTACAAAACTAATTTCTCCAATTTTTCTAATTTAAGTTTCAATTTTTTAACCTCAACTTTCAGTTAAATCTCTCAATTTCTCTAATTTAAGTTGAAATTTTTTAACTTCAATTTCTAACGTATTTTTAACTTCACAAATTTCTTCAAATTCATCAATTGAACTTTTGCCTTCATTTCTTTTAATTAAATATTCAATATTATTGCTAAATTCATTACTTACATTTTTAAAATCTTCCATAATTTTAATATTTTTTATCATTATTCCAATATTTCAGAATTGAAAATTTATCATAATCCATTCCCTTGTAAACACGTCTTGTAAATATAGATATTTCTTCAAAACCTTCATAAATAGCGCTCTTATCATCATCTTTTCTTGTATTATACCATTCTTCAAAATATTTAGCTTGACCAAAGTAATAAATATAATTCGGTTCAGGCTCAGGATTTCGAAAATTAATATGATACAATGCTTCATAATCTGCTATGTGATTTGCTCGATTTCTTAATAAAGTTTGTTTACCATTAGCTTCTGCTTTTTCATATGCACCACTAAAAATGCAAGCAAATAAAGAAAATGAATATTAAATTAGCTGTTCTTACTAAAGTAGTAAATAAAAAAGTCTTACCTCATAAAAGCAATTAAGATATTTTGTAAAACAATTACAAGGAATAAACTAGAAATAAAAGTATATACATCAATAACCCAGAAATCAAATTCATCCCTTTGAACCCAATCACCATTAATCCAAAAATATGCAGCTTCTATTGCTGTAAAAAAGGATGTAAACGGATTATCACTAGATGTGGGATCAAAATCTGATTTAAGTTCAATGTCAAGTGTTTCATTTGTTAAAGAATTTGTGGCTTTTCCACTATATGTGGAATCTTTGGTTTTAATATTCGTGGGTTCTCTGAGTAATACGAACCTGCATTTAATAAAATAAGGTAAATTAATCATAACTGATGATTAAATTTAAAACGAAAATAAACCAACATTGAGTTTTCATACATTGTATGTGCAAATCCACGACATAATAAATATAAATGCCAATATCTTTCAGGTGGGAAATAATATATTAATTAATATGCTTCATGAAAGAATAATATTTTTATCTAGACAAATAATGTATTTTTTACCTGATATTAAGCGAAGATACATAATCTATTAATATAATAAAAAAATTAGTTATAATAATTAATTAATTAATTTTATATAAAGGAAAAATGTCAATTGAAACTAAACTTACCAGTTCAACCCAAAGTAAGAAAATTGAGAATGATATACTCACAGTTAATCCAGTATCAACTTCTTTAGCGCTTCCAAAACCATCAGAAATTTGGAAATGTTTAAGCGTTAATGACATTATCGTTATAGAAAATATAATAGAGACTATATCAAAAAAGTTGTATATTTCTGAATACTTTTTTAATCCACGATAATGAAACTGTTTCACTTCAGTAATAAGTTGACAAAGTGCCAAATAATAAAATACAATAATTAACATCAATAGAAAATTGTGATCAATAATCGTGCTGTGACTTAAGTATGCCCAACTAACTAACATGAAACAAATGGCATAAATAAAAAATTGAAGGAAGAGAAAATACATGAAATTTTTTGCTTGTTTCCAATAAAAATCGATAATCACTTCAATTGCCGGATTGTTATAAATATCATCATTATTCTCATATAGTACCATTCTAGAAAAAGGACTTAGCCTATTCTTATCATTGGGACGAATCTTGTACGATCGTGGTATAAATAAAAATAAAAAAATGTTTAAAATAATTTTTTTACGACTATATTCTTTTGGAACTTTTGGAACTTTTGGAATGTCATTTATAGTAAAACCGGGAAGGGGAACCACACGTAAAGCTAATGGTGATTTTCCAAGAACATTATCATAATTTTCAACTTTTTCGAATATATAATCTTTGAGAGATTTGAATGGGATCCAAATCCAAAAATTGTAGCATTCAAGTTTATTAATCTCATTAATTTCTAGATTTTTGATCATTGGTCTGAATGCTCTAAATTTGATGCTATGATTGCGACTTTTTAGGTGTTCATTTGGAATAATTTCATCAGGATCTTGACCCGAAAAATGATTTTGATATAAAACATTTTCTAACAAATAATTTTCTGACATAATCGTCTATGTTACATATAAAAAAAGTTATAAATTACACAAACTCTCTGAACGAAAACAAGATTATAACAAAAAACGAACCGTAATTATATTTAAATAATAAAGGAATCGCCTTAGAAACAGTACACATCCAACCTGCATTATCTGTTGCATTTCTAGAATAATATTCCAAAAAATAAGCAACAACAATTGTATCTTTAAGTTCTCGACCTAATAAATAAAATCAAGTTATTTTAATCATGATAAATGATATAATTCGTAAAGTTAATAAGTTTAGAGACTTTACCTTTGCAATGATAAATTGCTAATTCCATATTATTTTCTGGTTTAATTTTTTCATTATCTATTAACGTATAATCTTTCTTTTCGCCAAAGTCAAGGTCATCATCTTTTAAAAACTTTTTTCCTGGCCATATTCTATTACATGGTATATGTCTGAGTTCATTATAAGCAATATCATTTTCAGAAGCTCCTTCTTTATCTCCAAATAATATAAATTTTATCAAGCGATCGCAATCGCCAAGTATTAAACTTTTCATAAGATTATGTCGAACATCCAATAATCTAAAATTTTCTGGTTCATATTTAGCAAATATCCGGATTATATGTTCAATATAGGTAACCATTTCCTCATACTTTTAATTAAAGAAATATTAATTGCATTATTTTTAAAATCAAAAAAAAGAAATTCAATAAATTCTTTTTATATTAACTTACTTTATGTATTTTACCGTAATTATCTGCTAAATATTTACATTTATAACGCTTATTTAAATGTTCTAATGTTTTACAAGCGTGTCTTACTGCATGAAATTTTTCAATAATATCTTGTCGTTTAATTACCTTTTCTTTTCTTTTCACCTTTACACTATCGTTAATTTTTTTTTTCTTAAATTCTATTTCATCTATTTCTTTATCTTCATCTATTACTATTTCGTGCTCGTTTTTTTTAAAAGCTTTATTATCATTTCTTTCATACCAATAAACCTTTAAATAAAAATCAATTATTTGTGATCCTTCATTTGATTCATAATTAAATGCTTCAACTCTTAACCTCGTTTTTTCTCTTTCTTGATTTATCGGGATACGATTTGTCCATATATATTCAAGAAATGGTTCTCCTTTGTTAGGAAGGTCATCTTTATTTTTTCTACTATCTTGGATTTGATGCCAAACTTGAACAGTTGATCTGCCGACAATAAGTTGTAAAGATTCTGTTTCTGTTTCTAATTTATTTTGATAGAGACAATATGAATTTCTTTCACAATTACCTAATACCCATGGTTCTCTGTCATTAACTATTGGCTTGAAATTTATATTTTTATCGTAATATATAGTATGATTTTCATCCGGTTTTCCATTTGGTTTTTTTCCAATATCTTTTTTTAAGTTTATATTTGGACATGCAGCTTTATTCAACTCTTCCTTTTCAGCTTTTTTCTTTTTGTCCTTTTTCTCTAATCCTTTTTTAACTTCTTTAAGGATCGATGAAACGTTTCCATAATTATCGATTTGTATAATATTCCCTGAAGTTCTAGCTAAACGAGTGTGAATATTTTCTACATTAGTAATTAGAAAATCGTCTAACTCTGTTAATTCATATTTTCCAGTATCATACAAATCCCAAACTATAAACTTCAGCTCTTTCTCTAAATCATTTCCCTCTTTCAGACCTTCACCTATTATAAGTAATCTATCATCACCATCAATAAATTCCAATAAATATATTCTTTCTATTTCATTAAATTTTTTTGATGCGATTTGTAAACCATTTTCCATTTGAAATAAACTAATAAATTTAAAATTAATTGTGAATTAAATTTTACGTCATTCGAAGATGATTGATAAATAAATGAAAACTACTTACTTTACAATATTAACTTGAGTAAAACAAAGTTGTAACCTACTAACTGAAAAGGTCTCATAATTATTGTATTGATTTACAATATTTTCAACTAGTCTTGCATCAGTTTCTAATTCCATTTTTTCCAGATCATATACTAAAAAGAAATAGGTGATATTAATATATTTTTAACATAATTATGATGAGATAAATAAATAAACAATTTTAAATATTTACCTTCAAGCGATTGCACGCCATTTTTATATTGTGCAACCAAAAAATAATTATTGTAAATATACGGGAGAAGTCGTTCCATCCAATCTGTACTTTCACTAGTATACCAATTCTTTAATTCACGTAATTTTTCATTCAATTTCAATCCCTCAATTTCGAAATTATATATCCCATGAAAATTCAAGATTATAAATCTTTTTAGTTGAGAATCGTTTGGTGACTTTAAATTGCTCTCATTTAAAACTTCTATATACATATTCCCGAAATTCCAAAAATGTGATAGGTAATAGCTTTCATAGTATGATATTTATAATTTTTATTTCTTTTTTCTAGTTCAAAGCGGTAGATCATTGTAGTTCCATTTCCCCGTGTACCCATCAGGTCCTTATCGATTATACGAGATACGGAGATATAAATGAAATATTTACATTTACTTTTCATGTCTTTTGTGTATAAATTCGATATATCGATAGACCATCCAAAATTTTCATCATTAGTCGATGTGGTTTCTTTTCCTTCGACAATTATAGTGTGTTGTCGTTCTTGAGATATAGTGAAATCACGGCCTATTTTAAATTGTTCAATCATTTCATAAATACTATCGGTGTTCTCCAACAACTTAATTTGAAGAGTTTCTAAATTAAAGAAAAAAAAAATATTAGCATTGGAATTATTTAATTTATGCAACAGCAAAAATGAAATAATGAATTAACCGGTATCGAATGTAGCGACAAATTTCCCATTTTGACAAATTGCGATATGATACTTGTTATCATTAGTAATACTACCATCAGAACTACTTGACCCATCTACATCACGATTATAGCTTAACTTGGTTTTATATTTATTGCTTTTAATAGATTTTGCATTCATGTATTTATTAAATGGTTCGGTAAAAGTGCCAACCTTTTCAACATCAGATTTAATAATTATGACTTCTTGTTCACGATCTATTGATTTCCTACTACAGTACTAGTATCAGGGTTATTACAGGTAAATTGTTATCATTTTCTTCATTAGCCATTTTCTTTTTTTTTATGATTCGTGAATATAAAATGAGAAAATTAAAGTGGGAGTCCTTATATATACATATTTTTTTTTTTCTTCGAGAAAAAATTTTTTCTTTGTCCTATTATTGTATAGAATAAATTTGGTATTATAACATGTGATCCCTCCTAAGAATCGATAACGTGCATGCAGGTGGGTCAAGTTTCACGTGCGTGACAAAAGTATCGGACTTGAGCCCAAATCCGCTGGGAATTGTTGAACAGTATGGCGCTTCAAGAAATCAGATTTAAATAGGTAGACTTTTAAAATTTAATTAGTTTTAATATGGAACTTTGTCTCATTTTAGTTAATTTAGTATTATCACATATATTTATATTTTAAACATTGTACTTTTCAACGAGAATTTGTCACAGTAACGATGATTACCTTGAATCAAATTTAATAGCGCTAACGATTAAATTTCTTTAAATTTATGTACATATATTCTAAAGATTAAACTGTACAGTATGTTTAGACGTTAGTGATTAAATCTATAAAAATAGATTTAAATTCCAACCGCGTATCAGGAAAGCATTTCCTCTTAAGAGTATAGCATGTGCAGCTTTTAAATAAAATTTTGAAAAAAATTTCTGTTTCATGAACTAAAAAAAAAATCATTTTAGAAATTTTAAAAACTCTAACATTGAAAATTTATATATATATAGTTATGCAGGTGCGTAGCAACGCACTTTCCTATATTATGTTATATGTAAAAGTTCAAATTAGTATTCTAAACTCTTTTATTCTGATGTGTAAAGTTGTAGAGCAGGCAAAATACGTATAGGACGTGACCTTAAAGGTTCTATAGTAAGTACATAAGGTTTGCAACAAGAAAAAATCGCAATTTAAATCACGGATCGATTTTGCAGATCATCACTTAATTGTTGAGAAAAGTTTGTTTTCGGACTTTTATCTAAAACTAAATTTTACAGGCAATTTATTAAGAATATCAGTTTTCTTTTAAATTTATATTGTTTGTTAATGCTATAAAAGTAAATACAAATAATAAGAAAATTTCAAAATTAAATTGTTTTTATATAATTTCAAATTTGACCATCCCCTTTTGCTGCGGGCATCCTATATATATTTATTTTTTGCGATCAATGTTCCATCAAGACACATGTCAAAGAAGTGCGTTTTAACCAGAAAGTGACAAACTACACGAAAGACTATATTATTCCTACAGCAAATTTATTTTTTTTTCGTTTATTTTCAACAATAAAAACGTAGGTTAACTGTTCGTATTACCTCAAGAAAAAGAAATTACGTCTAAAACAACCTTATGTTCATCGTTACTGATTCTCTAAAACTTTTTGCTGGATATTGTAAAGATCGATGGTAAAATTACCATACATAAATGCGGGATGAGGAAATGTAACCAGTGGAGTATATACTCCTGGTATTTGTGGATCATAAAACAAGTCGCTGATTGGAATAGTGACTTGATATACAGGATTGCCTAAAGCAACACACCCGGTAGGAATATTGCTACATTTTTGTACAGTCCCAAATTCCCACTATTATTTAAGAAACATTAGAAAAATGGAAATCCGCAAGATCTAAACAGTTTAAACTTACTTTCTGAGGTGCCATCCCCTGTCTCCACAACTTAGCCTAATATTTATCAAATCACAAAGTTTTTTAGATAAAATTATAAAATAATAAATGGTTAAAGATATATACCTTCATTCTTCGATTAAATCTTCCTAGTGGATCTCGTGTTGTACGTAATTCATATAGCTTTATACCTAAAACACACCTAACATATGGTTGAGTCATCCAGAGTGCACATTTATTCTTCCAATAAGCAACATTTTGGCCAACTGCAACCTCACAAATTATTCTAGCGTGAGAATGCCCCTACAAAATTATAAATCTTAGAAAATTGTATTAAAAAAGATATGATAATATACATAAAATTTCAAAGTACACGTATATCGCATGGGGGTGGTCCAAGACCAGGAATGGGTGGGTCTGGAACATACGACTTAGCCGGGTACACCGCTACGTCTGCTGCTATTTTAACCCCATTTCCAGCTGGTGAAAAATGGACTATAAAAACATAAATTATTAGGAAATTAATTACAAGTCAGATCAAGCAAGTTTAGAATTCACTTACATGCATCTCCACAAACGTCTATTGCTGGGTTCCAGACATTATTTCCATTAGGAAGATTAAAGTATCTCTGCAATAGTGAGGCAGTAGCAGCATGTTCTCTTGAGCTCATATCAACGATAGATACTTCACCATTATTATATTCAAACTTGTATCCGGACGATTCGTTACTATCAAGAAAATGGTTGTAGTTTTTTACCGATATATTTTGACCGATACTGATTGGTAAACTGCAAATATGGAAGTTAACATTGAGTTGAACTTGAAATAACTTGTGCGATACCTTACTCACTCATCAAATCCAATAGAACCTTTTGGTAATTTTGGAATTTTAAATTTCTCGTCAAACTTTCTTTTTAAATTTTGAAACATTTTGAAATATTTCTTTGTAGAAATAGAAAATATTTTGTATCTAAAAAAATTATAATGCTTAGTATTATAAATTATAATGATAAATGTGATCCGATTTCGCATCAATTGCAAAACTATTTCTAAAAATAAATTCGTAATTGTATCCTTAATATTTTAAGTTGATCCAATTTTGCATCAGTATTTGATAATTTTAAGGGATTTTAAGGGGGAATCTTAACTCTCAGGATAATATCCTAGACCCCGAATTTGATTGGTTCAATGATCTCAGCCAAATACAGAATACGCTAGATAGTTAGCGTTTTATATATTATTTATATTTATATATTTATATATATATTTATATTGATAGTGATAGTGATATTGAATTGATATTAAGTTGATATTGATATTGATATTGAGTTAATAGTGGTCATTTATATAGGAAAAAAAAAAAAAAAAAAAATTTTTTTCGATCATGATCTACGGATTATACTTTGAGCATATCGGAATAAAAAATATATATATATATTCAGTTTACTCCAATAATTTCGAAAACCAAATTTTTCATTTTTAATGAAACGTTACGTTAATTAAAGTTTCGTTTTTATTATTTTTGTAAGTTTCCAGTCTTCTCTACTACCATTTTGAAATTAAGCTTCATTCTTTACTAACGTTCATTTTTATATTTTGTAGGTCCAGAACGCTGAAGGTACAAGTTCTGGCCTTCATTTCAAAGTTAGTTCGAAAAAAAAAAAAAATTTTTTTAATGAACTCTGGATTTTTATTTTCGAAGGTAAAAAAAACTTAGAAATTTATTTTTTTATTTTTTTCGTTTATTTAACGAAACGGTTTGTAGCAAAAATGCAAAAAAATTTCCTGATCAAAATGAAGTACTCTTTTTTGTAGGTACCGGAAACCATTCTAGTCTTCAATTTCGAAGGTAAAAAAAACTTCGAAAAAATTGTAAAAAATGGTCTTTTTAATGAAACGTTTACTAACGTTTCGATTTTCTTTCTTTGTAGGTCCATGGTTTCCCGTTAAATTCTTAGATAGAATTTGTAGTTATCCTTTGTTCTTTTAATTTTTTTAGATAAGAAAAGGGCGAATTTTCAGTCTCATCAAGTCAAAAGCCGAACTTGAAGAACTTTCAGAGAACCAAGAGGGGAAAAGGTGTTTGGATATATGGGAAACCCAGTGGGGTTCTTTCAAATTTATTTTTTAATGAATCTAACGCTTCATTCATTCTTTTTTTTTTAGACGAGTGTCAGAGCGGGATTTTAAGTTGAAACTCAGAACTCGACAATTATCTGGACGAGGGATTTTAGTGAGAGATCGATCAAGCTTTTTTTAGTATATTTTTTTTATTTTTCTTTTTTTAAGACGGTTTCTTCAAATATCTATGGACGTGGATTTTGGTAAAGTGAAAATATTTATCTTTTTTCTTAGGGACTGGATCATTGGACGCGTAGAATGTTGACAAATGAAAATATATTCAATTTTTTAACTACTAGAACTATTTTAGAAGAAACTTCACGGAAAGAGCGGTTAGAAATACTCTAGAAAGGAATTATGAGGCCATGCGTAAAATTTCGGAAGGAAAAAAAATTTTTCCTTTATCGAAACATTTTATTAACCTTTGACACGTAGATTTTTGTAAGAATATTTGGAATTTTTTTTTAAAAATTTTTTGTTTTATCAAAACATTTTATTAATATTTCGATTTTTTCCTCTTTTTCTTTTTTTTAATGAAGCATTTGTTATTCTCTTCTTTTCGTAGATCTACGCGTTCCTGGATAGCTCCTGGAAGGAACTTTGAAGGTATCCTTCGAAGTTCTTTAATTTTTTTTTTTCTTTTATAATGAAACGTTGATTAACGTTTCGTTCTCATCTTTTTATTAGGTTTGGACTCTTCCTGTAAAAAAAGGTAATACTTCGAAATTTTCTTTTTTTTACTTTATTTTAACTACCATTTTACTAACGTTCGTTTATTTTTTCCATTTGGATCCTGGTTCTCATTTAGAAGGATTTTGAAAGCATCTATTTTGTCAGTTGTTTGTTGGAATCGAACCAACTGGAGCAATGTCCAAACCATTAACAACATCATATAATTTTGCAGTAAAGAGAAGTTTTAGAAGTTTGAATAATAGTGTATTTAATAAATAGTGTAGTTAATTGATTTTTGTACCATTTATTTGTAAATGTTGTAAATGCTTTTAATAAATAAAATAGTTGATGTTAGTTATCATTAAAATAATGTAAAGTTTATATTAGCCATTGCAGATTTAATATTTTAATAAATAAAATTTTCGCAGAATTTTTACATTTTGAAAATTTTTTTTTTCGAATTACTGCGCCAGCAGAACATCGCTAAAAAACGTGAGAGCTTAAAAATTATTTATCGCTTAATTTGGTAATTTTGTACGATACTAATGCAAAAATTCCAATTGATATGAATTATTTTATCGAAATTTTTATTGTCTGAAGAGCCAAAGTTCAATAGGTTCATTTGTTTTTTCGATCATGATCTGCAGATCAGCTGAATTTTCATTTGAAGTGCGAACAGGTAAAAGCGATTTACAATTAGATAATATTTCAATAGGTCATATATGTAAAATATTACAACAAAGTTTATATAATTGTTCTGTTAATCCTGATCCTTGGGAATCAATTATTTCGAGAATTAGTTTCGATGTTTCTGATACTGTTCTTAAAGCTATTGAAGTTTTATTATTTTTATTTTTATTTTATTTTTATCTTATTTGCTGCCAAAAAATTAATTATGATTATTAGAAGAAATAAATTGTATTAATTTTTAAATTTATCCAATAAAGAATTTAATTTTAATAATATCATATGGTTATTGTTTGTTATGAATTATTTAAGAAATTTATATCATAATAAATTATGCAAGGTATAATATTCACACGTTAAAAGTCAGGTACAATTATTTTATTGCATATCTGATATTATACTTTAAAGATTGTATAAAATTTTTAAAAGCTGCCTTAATTAATTATTTAACAATATTATAAATAAAAATTTCTTTTTTTAAAAACTGAATTGGGTTTAAGTAATATTAACAATTTTCACGTGTAAATGTGTTAATTTAAATGAATACGAATTTTGTATTAAAAAATTTGATCGCTGATCACTCCTGAAGTGTATTACGAATTAAGTATCGTATTCATACAATTAGAAATTTAAAGAAGTGAAAATTCTTTAATTATAAAGGTTGAAAATAAAATTACTAAATGTAAACTAATAAGTCAAGAAATCTTAGGGGATGGCCAGAAATGACGTAATTTAAATTTTAGGATTTTTGACCCCCCCCTCCCCATGTCATCATTCATTTTAGGAAATGTAAAATTAAAACATAATTCTGGCTAGAATTATATTAACTACAAGTGTCTAAAAATGGAAGATGTGTAACATCATCATGGTCTTAACCCCCCTCCCCCCCAGGAAATGACGTCATTTCTGGCAGTCCCCTTATTAAAAAAAAAAGTAGATTAACTTAATAAGTTAATTGTCCATTACTTATTAGTATTAGTAAAAATTTCGGTTTCCGGTACTAAAAATAATCAATTTTCTAAAATCATTAGACAAATTTAGATGACCGCGCGGAGTTTGTGAATTTGTGACTTGTGAGAAAAAATTATTTGTCAGTCACGTGCCCGAGAAGTTTAGATCAACTAAAATTCACGTGACAATTTTTTGTCGCCCATGTCACATTGTCACACGTCACACCTCCGTTTTTGTTTTGTGGGCGCGGTTTCTATTCATTCTATTCATGCACGAATGTCGTAAACTGTATAAATAAATTTCACGTGATCATATAAAACCGCCATTTTTTACACATTGCCAAACATTCATGCATTTTTTGTACATGTTACTATTGTCTTATTAGCAAATGGATCCAAATTTGTTCGTTCCCGACTATTAAAAAAAAAAAAAGTTATGATAGGTATCACCAAATTATTGTATTTAAAGTTTCAAAACATTAAAAAATTTTTTTTTTTATTTCTTTAAAACTTTAAAACAAAATTCACGAAAAGGCGACATTTTTTTAATGCGCTTTTACAAACCTTATTTAAAAAATGTCTCAATATGATGAAGAAAAAGATAACTTTGAAACTAAGATATCAATAGATAATGGAGTACGAGAGATAGCATTTATTAAAAGTGATGCTAAAAAGAATGTTTTTAAAGAAATAAAGGATATAAACAAATTTATAAAATCTGTTAATAATAGACAATATTCGAGTAAGAACTCATTAGTTTGTGATAACGATATCACTAATAAAAAGGAAGTTTATCAAATTGCCATTTCTAAAAATGGAAAATTTGTTGCTACATTTGATTCAGGTAAAATTTTATTATTTCGTATTTGCTGTTACAGAAAAATAAATAATTTTAAATAAAATTATTTCATAATTATCACGAATTAGCAAACCTTCGAATTAAAATATTGGAAAACACTGATTGTCGTCCATTCAAAATCGGAAAGAAGAAAGATATGGAACTCAATAACGATAATAATTCTGATAGAATTAAAAAGACAATCGTACATTTTAAATTGAAAACTGATCTTACTATTGATAAGTTTTATAGCGAAGGTTTCATCCCTCCTTTATTTAATGGTTCTTCAAGCAATGATGATGATAAAAAATTTCGATGGTCTTTCGATATATCGAATGTATGCATGAATGAAAATAAACATTTTATTTATGTTGCCATATCTTGCATAGTTGACGATGATATGAGGAGAACGATAGATGGGAAAGAGAAAAAAAAAGGAACTACCGTCATTTATTCAATTGAACTGATAAAAAATAATCAAGAAAATTATGTTTTAAATAAAAATACTGATACTTTTTATCAAATACATGAAATTTCAGGAATATGTAGATTTGCAGAAATATTTGAAAACAAAGTTTCTGATAACGAATTCTTTGTTTTAAAAAGATTCATAATATTTAATTTTTATGGTATCCATAGTTTCAGCCGTAAGGATAGTTTTAAATTGGATATGACATTTAATTATCCAAAAAATATCAGACGTGAATTAGATTCATTAGATCCTTCAGAAATATATAATTGCATCAGTATACTTTATTCTTGTATTTGTGGTAAATATTTTCTAGTTGAACAATATAAAAATAATGTACAATTACTTGAAGGTAATTAATAATTTTATGATTATTATCAAATTTATACGTTATAATCAAATTAATATGTTTTTTTAATTTTTTAGTTTATGATCTAACGACAATGAAATTAGATACTATCACAAAAAGGGTCGAAAAAAGTCAGGATAAGCTCTTAAGACGGTACAATAGAAATGTTTACTCAATCAGTATGAATAAATCACAACTCTGCTTTACACGAGGACTTAGATCTGTCAAGTGAGTAATTGTCAGACTTACATTTTGATAAAGTTAATTTCGTATAAATATATCCAATCGACTAAAATTTATTATCTCTACTTTCTTGAGGTTATATTTTATGGAAAATGGTTTGGAAGTCACTTCAAAGAAATTTAATAAATTAGAAAAAATTCATTCATTAGAATTCATTGAAAACGATAGGAAAATACTTGTGATAGGTGAAACTCAGAATAAAAAACTGAAATATATAATCTGGGACATTTACAATAATGAAGAAACAAAGCCGACATCGTTAGATAAATTTCTTACAATAAATAATTTTGGTAAACGTTTAGCCGGGTCTCCGGGAAATCTTTTACAAGTCAATGATGAAGGAAATGTTATATCGATTCTTAAATGGATCGAGAAATCATTAAAACTAAACCAAGAAAAAAATGTTGAAAAGAAATTTCCTCCTCAAGATTTAAAACACTTTAAAGACAAAAAACCGGATGGAAGTTTGGATAAAAGGCATATTATATATTATAATAAAAATATAAACCCAGATTTCAAATCAATAGTTTCTGAGAAAGAGCCATGGGTGTTAGGTGATTACGATAGACATTCTTATTGCCTTCATCAAAATAAAAATGGATCAGAGATAGATACTTTACAACTTATAGTCGGTAGATCCACTGTTCAAATTTGGCATCAGGTCCGAGATGACAGTAAGCCTAGAGATGAACTTCCTAACAAAGGAGAACCATTTCTTGAATATATATGGACGAATGGTATTCCAGTAAATCAAGAAAGGAAAAAAACAAGATTACGGATAGAAACCTTTAAATATGGATCGAATGATGATAAATCAAAGTTAACCGATTTCTATTTGAAAGTTTATTGGTACGAAAGAGCTTCAAAAAAAGTGGATGAAAAAGAACTCGAGAAAATAATAGTAGAAGATAATAAAATAATTGATAAATTGGAAAATAAAGTGGACAAAAAGGTAATAATGGAAACGGAAAATAACAATGAGGAGGGAGTAGGAAGGAGGGAAAAAGTAATTCGGTGTCAAGACGTTATTGATAAAATTAGTGCAATCAGGTGTGCATGTAAAGCATTGGAATATATTAATAAACGTACGAAGTTTCTTGTAAATTATGTTAAAGAACATCGCGTAAGTGTTTACTGTATGATTAGCTGATTAAATATACTCTTAACGAAAAAGAATTAGATTAATATTTATTTCTTATTTCTTTTAATAAAGTGCGAGGAAATAGTGGCATATATTAATCATATAATATGCAGATTTATTAAATGCAAGCCTGAAGATTATAAATTGTTAGATGTCCGATACAATGTTATGAAAAATTTAATTCTTGGTGATTGTGATCATTTGATAAAATTTACATTATTCGAAAACAATGACGAGGATAAAAAAGCTACTAAGTTACATATACCGAGGAATATGTTCTGGAAAAAAGGAAAGTTTATTGACGATGATACTAAAAATGATGAAATAACGAACGTTATGGAATTAGCAATTCATCATTGCAAAGGTAAATTTTAACTAGCTATAAGCATTAGCATTGTGTTCATCCGGCAATTAACTAATTACCTTTTTCTATAATATAGGACGTGAAATAAAGGATACTATCATTGTTGCTTATCTTTTGGAATATTATTCTAGACATGCAACGGATTATGCTGGTTGGATGAGTACCGTTTCTAAGGCGCTTCCTCTATTATTTAAATACAATTACGGTTGTTATTCCATCCTAATTTTGTTATTAAAAAACGATTTGAAACTTACTAATTTTTATATTTATAACAGATGATTGTGTTACAAAATTGTTTCGTAAAGAATGTTTTGCAAACCAAAATTACTTTTCAGCACAGGATCCCTATAATATTATTCCAGAGGAATATCAAGAAAGACGTAATCATAATATTAAATTTAGAGCCTTCGGGGTCAATCTGCGGTCTAATGAATATAAGTGGTACGGCGGGATTTTGAAATCACTAGAATCTCTCAAAATTAAAACGTATAAATTTTTCGGAGAACTTGATAATAATGATGTTGAGAAGAAACCATTGGCTTTACGAGTGGTTCCACTTCCTGAATTTACCACAAATAGGATTAATCAACAGGAAGAAGTGGAGTGTAATATTATTTTAAAAATTATTTATTCCTTTTTTATACCACGGTGGTATAAAATTGGTCGGGACGAGAAGCATAAGTTGAGTCCTTTTTCCAGAGTAGTGTATTACGAAAATAATGATGATATTTATGATAACCCAGCAACCGAAGCGATTATCGATTTTCGTTGGAAAAAAGCAAAAAATTTCTTTTTTCTCCTTTTTCTCAGATTTCTTCTTTTTATCTTTTGTTTTGGATTGATTAATGCGGCATACTTGGATCATGGCACTATTATAAATGTAGAATTCTTAGTTTTATTAATTATTATATTCTACTATTTAGCAGCTTTTTTATTTATCACTGAAGTTATACAGTTATTCTATCATGGACCCAGAAAATATTTTGGTGACATATATAATATTTTTGATATAATTTCGATTATACTTCCTATAATAGTAATGTCAATAATGCTTAGGGATTTTCATTATTCTAATGGCTTTGGAAATGTTGAGATAATTGACACTAAATTAATTGTGTGGATGTCTGTGACGATTTTTTTTCTTTGGATGGAAGCGGTTAGTTTTTTATTTTGCAAAATTTTGTATGTTAGTCTATTAATAATGTGACATAACATAATTACTTTTCTATAATTTTAGATTTCATATCTCCGTTTAATACCAAGTAAATATAAATTGATTCTTTACAGAAATGATGAATAATTACTAATGGCCATTTACATTTTTTTTTAATAGATATCGCTACCTACATTTACTATGTTAAAATAATTACTAAAGCAGTATTTCCGTTTCTTTTGTTTAACATTGTCGTAATAATGGCATTTGCTCATACAATGTAACAACTTTCAAAGAGTTTATGTGTTTTCTAGTTAATTTGCATTTAATTTAAATGTAAAATAACAAAAAATCTTTTATTTATAGGCTTATTTTGCTTAAAGAAACAAAGAATATTGAAACTAAAGATACAACATTTAGCGGAACTGCTACAAATCCTGTAAACGGTCAAGAACTTGATGTCAAAATGAAAGCTGATTTTCATCCTGATGACATGAACGATAATCCATTTTCATACTTTCCTACAGCAATAGTGGCTACATATTATTGGCTTAATGGTGATTTTATTCAAAGGGACGAATTTGATTTTTGGGCTGTTGAAGTTCTTTCTTTGATTGCTAGTATCCTTCTTGTAACCATTTTGCAAAATATGTTGATTGCTTTTATGGGGTAAGACTTTTTAAATATTATAAATTTTATTTTTTTTTTCTCTTTCTTCCTCTTTATTTAAACTATTTATTCTTTAAATATTTTAGTGGTGTGTATCAAAAAGCAGAAACTAAAGGTAGACAAGCTTTATTAAGATTTAGAGCAAATCAAATTGCAAATTATGAAGCATTACATCATTATAATTTCTGGCCTTACGAACCTGATCCAAAATATATTTATTATGTCAGTCAATCAAAAATTTTTGTAGAATGGTATAATAGTAGAAAAAATGATCAAGATCCTATTTATAGTGATTTTGAAAACAAATCAACTTACACAAAACATGTATTTGAAGAAAAAAATTATGATATTCATTCAATTTGGGATTATGAAGAAGATAATAAGATGAAAATTAATAAAAATGATGATAAAAATAAAAATGTTAAACAAAAGAATAAAGTTGATAATATTGAGAAGGAAATTAAAAATGATGATAATATCAAAGATATTAAGAAGGATATTAAAGATGATGATATTGAAGCTATCAAAGAAGATATTAAAAAGATTGGAATTGAAAATATGAAAAATATGAATGATATCATTGGCAGATTGCTTAAAACTCTTAATTAAACATTCTTAATTTATTTATCAGTTATTTTTTATGTTTATTTCTGGTTTAGTTATTTCTTATAGAATGTATTGATTTTGATTTTTCACTTTAAAAAAAATATATTAAAATCTTAATAAATTTTCTCTTGAATTAAGTCAAGATTTTATATTGAAATTTTTAATATTTAATTGGACATTATAATTGGAATTGGTCAAATATAAAATAATATTATTGTCCCTTGATTTGAACTTGAATATAGGAAACCAAATTTCTTAATAAAATCTTGTAATAACTCCATTAATTTGAAATAATTTGATTTATCAATCGTAAATAAATTTAGAGTTAGACTATATATACTATATATACATGAAGTAATAAATAAACTTTGGAGTTTGTCACGATAAAATGATAGAATGATCATTATATTTAGTCATGTTACATTAATGTAGTATTCTCTTTTTCCTAATATTAACTTATCTACCTTTATAATCAAATATATGAGACCCAGATTTTTAATTACTAAACCTCTTTTTACAACATTTATAATAACCACATTCTGCCTGAGCTTAGATAGGATGGTCGGCATTTACAATATGAATTATTATAATGTTCACATCAAAGTTGAATCTGTTTTACAAAATAAAAACAATAAAAGAATATTATAAAATGATAAAATGATAAAATGATTATATACGCTTTTTCTTACTTTAATGTTATGTCCTTCGGGATTGTTTTCTTGATTTTTAAGCTCATTATTACAAATTCTTCTTCAGAGTTACATTTTTCAGTTTCATCTGGCCTTTCAAGTTCTTTAAGTGGCTTATCTACAAAAACTTCTCAAAAGTCAGTGAAAGTGCCCGGTGTTGAAAGCGTATGTTGTCGTCCAAAATGTTGTATAGTCACGTAAACGGGGTTGCAAAAGCTGAATAAGGACTGGAGGATACCACCCAGTACAACCTACCTTCAGGCTTGTTTTCTTCAGAGTTACGTTTTTAGGTTTTGAGTTCTTTCAATGGCTTATCTACAAAAACTTCTCAAAAGTCAGTGAAAGTGCCCGGTGTTGAAAGCGTATGTTGTTGTCCAAAATGTTGTATAGTCACGTAAACGGGGTTGCAAAAGCTGAATAGGGACTGGAGGATACCACCCAATACAACCTACCTTCGAAAAAAGCTTTCATTTGTACTTTTCTTTATTTTCTTTCTGTTCCTTTCTATCTCTAGTAATTTTTTTTTCTTGCTCTTGTAATTCCTCTTACATTATCTTTACATTGCTTAAAAAAAGAGTGGGCTTTTTTTTGAGACATTTTTTTTTTTTTTGATGATAAATATTTTATATATTGCTGAATGCCGTTAAAATCTGTAAAATTTTAGGTTAGAGAAAGAGAGTTTGAGAGTACAATTATACATTTCTTTTTTATATAAGTCATGGTAACTTTAGTGTGAGTCATGAAAATTTTTTTTTACACATAAGAATATGATTTTTGACGTACAGTTGGCTGTGGAACATTTCTGAATATGACACATTGTGACTAATAATATGATCGTAATTGTATTATTGTGCAAACAAATATCGTAAAATTTAAATATCGTGTATTTTAATATCTGTGTCATTGGAGAATATTAATAATTTTAACCCTATAAAAGTTTTTCAAAAAAATGATCATGTGTCTGAGTTTCTTCGAAATAAAAACTAGAAAAATGATCATTTATCAGAGTTTTTCCAGAATTTTTTTTCTAGAGTAAGACATAACATAAAAATTATCAATTTAACCTATAAGGCGAAACTTTTCACCAACCACAAAACAGTTTCATCTGAAACATTAGCTCCAATATGACGTTCACTTGCTAATAAATATTTGCGTTACTTTAGCACAAATCCAAATTAGGATATTCGAATATAAACCAACTGAAAGTGAAGTTAATATTCTAGAATTTTAATGTCACAAGATTTCGAATATGATGTTAAATGTTATATGATTTAGATATTTTTATTCTTGTATTGTCCTTCAAGAATAAAGTTAAAAACTATTATTTTAATATAGTTTTTATAACAAAAAAAAAATGACGAAAAACACGATTTTGTTGATATTCGATAGTAATAGCTTGAGATTACTTGAAATTTATGGGAGATTGGATTTTTTTTATAGGTTGAGGCAAAATGGCGAAATTGCTATACCGATTACTAAATAGCCCTGTTCATTTCCGGTCGGTCGGTCGGATTTTGTTGTACAAAATTATCCAATAAAATTATTTTATTTTCGATCGCAAATTGAACTGCTTTAGATTGAAATTTAGTTCGAACTCCTTATATTGATATATATTTTTTTTCTTAAATGTCACGTAAACAGAAATAATTGGTTATTTTTTGGCGTTCGACAAAAAACTCAGAAAATGGTTGCGTTGTACAAACTGATCAGCCAATCAAAATTAACTTAAATCTGACCGAAAAATGCGACCGACCGGAAATGAACAGGGCTACCGTTTCCGTGTTTCGGTCACGCCTCAGTGAGTTGCTGTGTTTGTGCAACAGAAAAATTTCGAAAAATAAATACACTCTTTTTCCCCATACAAACGCGAGAGGAAAAATGCTTTCTTGCACCACAGGACCTTTCGTAAAAGTAATATTAACGTCGAAACCATATGTTATGAAAGGTTGATGACTTTGCATTCCGAGATCGTCAGGCTTTGAGACTTGCGGAAGTGATCGGGCACAATGATATTTTTTTTGTACCATGTAACGCAATTTTTATGTATTAGTTAACGGTTAACGATTTATTATTTTAAATAAAGCATAATTATATTGGGCCGTTTTCGGTAGTTATTTTTTCTTGTAAAGAATAAAGATGTAATCATCCGAACTTTAAATATTATATGCTGCTATAATTTAATTGGATAAAATTCATATACCGAAGAATTCACCATATCCGAATCAAAACACTTGGAACGACAGGTTCATTGTATCCAGTGGCGACCGTATTAAGTTTTTGGGCCACAATTTGCATTCCAAACTTTCTTTCTAGAAAATAACTTATTGTAATTTTGTGACTTTTGTGTAAGCCTTTCAGATACATCATGTCTTTAAAATGATGGATGATTGATGTCAATCAGTTCCTGATAGTTTATTTTTTTTAACTCAAAAGGGATGAGGCTGCTTGCCGAAATTGAAAAGAAATTTTATTTTGTCAATTACTATTAGGTATGTACTAATTGTTAATTTATTGTTAATTATGTTTAGAAAATTTAAATTTATTCAGTATATCTAACGATGTGGCTTTCAAATTTCAATAACTTTTTAATGAAATTGAACGGAAAACATGTTTACTTGATGTTATGAATTCTGGGAATATGGAAAAAAGAATATAAAATACGGATTACAGGTTATCATGTAAAGAGCTTCTGACTTATAATTAATAATCAATATATAACAGATAATAGTTTCCTTTTAAATTATACTACCCTTTTTTTGTGATACGTATTTGTAATACTTAATATTTAATAGTTTTATAATTGATTGTCGTGTAACTCGAGTTAAATAGGATTTTTTAAAAATAATCACATGATATATCATATATGTACGTTAGATATAATTATATAATAAAAAAAACGTTACAATTAAATTATTATATAAAAACGTTTTCGCTTGCAATGTTTTTATTAATCTTTTTAAGAAAAATTCGTGTGAATTTTATTTCGCTTAAGCATTGACTCAAATGTATGTCAGGTCAATGGGTCGGGGCTGACACTGACCCGACCTGAGGTCGGGTCATGAATTTGATGATGACCTGAATATTTCGGATCAACCGTCGGGTCACCCGATCCGTCAGGTCAGATTCGGAGCTCATTTATATAAATTATAAATTTCTTATTTATCTATTTATTTATTTAACGCTCATAAAACTATTATAAAATCAAAATAATTTAATTATAGGTATCCACTCAAACTTGAAGAAAATTTATATGCAAGTAGTTTAGATCAACTGAACAATTTTATCTAAACACTTAGAGGTGATTTATTTTAACTGAAATGTTGAATTTGTGCTCTGAAATATATGCAAATTTTTTTAAAAAATAAAATTAGAAAATAAATATATGCTGATCATTTTTTAAGTTGGTTTTAACGAAAAATTAAAGTGATATTTAAATTACCTTGTCATTCTAAATAAACTTGCAAATTAGCCAAACATAATCTTCTTAATAACTTTTAGAAATTTATATATTATAAAATGTATTAAGAAAATTTCTCTATTTTATGATTTTTGCTATGTAACAATGAGGTCTGATGATTGACGTGCAAAATTTGTTTGTCATACATGCAATACTTGTACAGTTGTACTTGTGCATTTTGCGTAAAATATTTAAATAAACAATAAAAAAAAAAAAGATATTTATTTTATCCTTTTCAGCTAGGGAAAATTTTGATATATTATTATATAGTAATGGCTCACAGTAATGATAAAGGTAAAAATTATATATATAGCATGAACATTTAATACAATTAGAATTAAACAAATTTGCAATATAATAAAACTAGTTTCTAGTAGTATTGAAGAATTTGAAGGAAGTAGTACCAAGGAATCTAAAGGTATATTATACAAGATGAAACATTAAATTATCACTTGTAAATAATTTAAATACTATCTACAATCATACCTTATGTAATATATATGCTAACTATGTTATATAAAAATTATATTAGATAATTTATCCTGTAAGTTAATTGGTTAATTTATACTTAAATAATAATGCAATTACTTATTATTTTTATTATATTCTATGTAATTAAATAATTCATTTAATGATTGATAATACAGTTAATAGTTATTTAAATTTTTAGTTCTTTACTTTATTCATTTTACATAATATTCAAATAACTAAATTCTTGATTTAAATAACTATTTAATTATATTACAGCTAGGGATGGCAACGGTCACGGTCATTAACCGGTTATGACCGGTCATGACCGTGACCGATATAGGTCGGTCAAAGACCTCTGACCGACCGTTTAACCGATCCTGAAAATGTTTGCGAAACGTAATTTAATAAAAAAATGTTTCGCAAACGTTTTTTTAATTATTTTAATAGAAAACGTTGCGAAAACGTTTTTTATTAAGTATTTCAAACGTTTTTTTATTAAATTACGTTTCGCAAACGTTTTCAGGATCGGTTAAACGGTCGGTTAACCGGTCGGTCAGACCGGTCGGTCAAACGGTCAGTCGGTCGGTCAAAGGTTCTTGACCGGTTATGACCGACCGATGACCGACCATGACCGACCGTTGCCATCCCTAATTACAGCTAGTAAGTTATAATACTTAAGGATATCATTATATTTAATATTATATTTATTTATTAATATTTTAATATAATTAATTAATTTAAATAAATAGATTGTAAGTAATATATTCGATTTATAGTAAATACCTTTCTATTATATTTATATCTAACTAATTAAAAATTAATAATGATCCAGGGTGTAAGAAATATGATGTCTATATTTCTATTATTTAATAAATAGTGAGTAAGTTATTTATTTGATTCTATTATTACTTATTGTTATAATATTTACATATAATTTAAACTAACTAAATTCTTTATTTAAAAAATTATTCAAATAATATAGTTCGTAAGTTATTTATTTAATTCCATTATTACTTATTGTTATTAACTAACTAAATTCTTTATTGAAAAAATTATTTAAATAATATAGAGAGTAAGTTATTTATTTAATCCTATTATTACTTATCATATTTACATATAATTTAAACTAACTAAATTCTTTTTAAAAAATTAATGAAAGTACAAAAAGGGATACGATTTTCACTGTATTATTAACCGCAGTGATACATAAAATGATGCCTGATATGAATTCCACAAGCTTACAATTGTATTTCCATTAACAGCACTTGGTGCATTAGAAGGTAAGTCTGAGGGGCATCTAACAAATCATCTCATACAGTATGATTAGGTAAAAGGTAGCGCCAGTAATAGTAGCATCACCAGCAATTTGTCCTTGTACCACAAGAGCTTTCCTACAAACTGATTCACAGCTACAGCTTCGAATTGTGGTTTGTGGATCAAAGTAGAGAGTGGTTGTTTGATAAAAAACCAATTTTAATAATCATTGATAAATAGATATTCATTAGCATTGTCATCTGCACCTTGATCCAATCCAGCTGCTGGTGAATCAGAACGGCTTTGTCAAACCCGACTATCAGGTTCTCTTGCAGTATTTTGTCCCAGAATCATGGTTGCATCAGTACCATATTCTAAATCCTGATCATTCCATCTATTTATCAATCCTATGACACATCCTATTGTTGCTGAATGAGCATAGGAAGGTACTTTATATATTTTAATATTTCCATTATATAGATACATGCGAACTGAAAATCACATTATTTTCAAAATAACGGAGGTATTGTTTAAGAGACACATTTTCTTTTATAATTATCTCGCTTGATCTTGTGTATTCTTCTTCCTCTTCTTGCACTTCTTCGCTTTCTTGGGCTTTTTGGAATATGAGCAATTTTCTCTCACTAATTCAATTTCTGTAAAGGATAAGTCTTTTCTCTTATGAAGGTAATAATGAGTTAACAGTGGGGAAAGTAAGTTGACTAGACTAGGAAGATTGTGAATCAGATTGACTAGGTTGGGAAGCAAGTTGATGAGACATGGAACGCGTGATGCGATAAGGATAATAAACCTCTGAATCTGAAATACAGCAAATTCTATTAAATTGGGAAGCTGTTAAGTTCCTATAACCTTACCCTCTGTATTATAGGAACTCGAGGCCATAATATATATATTTTAAGAATGATTATTAAGAGATTTCTTTAAATCAGTGAAATCAAGGATATTTATAAGAACGATTGTCTCCCATTCTGAAGGTATAACTTTCAAAAAAAAATTTTATTTATTCTAAATAAATTTAGGTTTTTTTTAAAAAAATTCGATTTTTACTTTATTCTGAAAAAATTCAATTTTTTATTGTTTTTTTATTAAAATTTATTATTAAAATTTATTAAGAAATTTTTTATTATACCAATATGATTTAACTAAACCGTTTAAGCCATTGTACATCGTCACGACGTCACGTCGTCACGTGCCGGACGGACAGACGAACACTAGTTTGTTCGGACTAATCAAGAAAAATATGGTTAATTTAAAGGTAAAGGATTAGCAAAAATTTTTTATTCTTTAAACATATATTCATCTATAATGAAAAGCTTTTAAAATAGTTGTTTTTTTTATTAAAAAGTAAAGAACAAAGCGTTCCTTTTTAAGAAATATTTTAATTAATATATACATATATATATATGTATTAGAAAAAAGTGAAGTTTTAGAAAAAAGTAATTTTTTTGCATTTGTTGCCATTATTTTTAGAGTGAATTTACTTTTTCATCTGGAATTGCTTACCCAAAATTGATTGGCTAAATTTCATTGATTTTTAACTCACAAAACAGATTAATTCACAAATAACTTTACGTAATGTGTTCTCTAGCACTATGCTTTTACGATGCGATGAATTCCATCTATTTCAGGTTATTTGTTATGACTCATAATGACTAACTCATTATGACTAACGATGACTCATAAATATTTTATAAATATTTACATGGCGTTGATTTTATGTATTGTACGTATGATAGGTATGTATGTATGGTATGTACAGTATGTATGGTATGATTTATTCCATACATATATGGATTAGTCCGTTAGTATTAAACTCAAAAAAAATAAACTTTTTTCGACTGGTGCATCTTTGATCGTCATTAATTTTTAATTCAAAGCTGATTTCTTGGTACTGCGATTGATTATGAATAGTGAATTTAATATATGATTTTGTCAATTAAAGATCACATCTGATCTGTAATCAATCATGTGCTTAATTATTTGATCAATGTAATTTGATCCGCACTATGATGTTGAAGGCTCCAATCAATGAACGCTCACTAATTGCGAAAGAAATTAAATTATTTGAAGCTTTATAAAAGTAAATCGCATTTATTATACGGATAACAACGGACGTTAATTACTAAATGTGTAATATTGAAAAAGTACCACATGATTAATTAATTATTTCTTGATCCAATTCATTTTATAATACCAATTCATTTTATAATATAAATTCATTTTATAATGAAATCTTAATTAAACTTAATTAAATTCCACAGTAATTGTTTTATGCAGAAAATTTTTTCTTGATTTTTATTCTCCCCGTTTCACTTTATTGTTTAATGAAAATTATTATAACGATTGACTAAATGATTTACAGTTTAAAAAAAATTTTCGAACTTGGATGTTACACAAATGTAATAATTGAGTTTCAGCCCTAATTAAGGTAAAAGAAAGTTCTGTTACACAAGATTTATTTTTTTTATTTAACAGTCTCGAACACAATTTTCTCACTTATTGTTATTAAAGACAATAACTTAATCTTCTAATCATGTCAACCTCTTGTCACAAAGTTCCTCCAGTTAAAAGTAATTATGTACCTCTTGGAACTATTGAAAAATTTAACGATCTTGATGTTTATGTTTCAAAACCAACAAATGGATCGAAACCTTTTAAAAAAGCAGTTGTCGTTGGTTACGATATTTTTGGATTTCATCCAAATGTAAAACAATTTTGCGACCTTTTAACGAAGGCTGGATATCTTGTTGTACTTCCAGATTATTTTCGTGGAAAAACGGCTCCAATTGTGTCTCAAGGGTAATTTAAAAATCATATAAATTTCTTTTCCTTTTTTTTTGAAAAAAAAAAAAAAATTATTTCAGTTAAAAATTTAATTTTTGTTTCTTACAGAGTTCAGGCTTTAATCGATTTTGTTTTAAAAACTTTTCCACCAGAAGTAATCATAAAAGATACTTTAAGCGTTACTAATCATCTCAAATCGGAATTTGGTTCTAAAGATTTTGGTTATACGGGATTTTGTTGGGGCGGAATTATGGGTTCAAAACTTTGCGCAATTAAAGAATTCAATGCTTGTGTATTAGTTCATTATGGCCCTCTTCAAGTGGATGATTTTAAAAAATCCCAATGTCCTATTGCGTTCTTACCTTCGTCTGAAGATCAAGATTCTGTGAGTTAATCTTAAATTTATATATATATATATATATATATTTTTTATCACATTTTCATATTTCTAATAATTTATATATTTATTGGTTAGCAACCTTTTGTTGATGCTATGAAAGATAAACCATTCGCTAATAAGAATTTTCAAAAACGATTTGTTGATATGGTTCATGGATTTGCTGCTTCTCGTGGAGATTGGAGCGATCCATTAATTTCACAAAGGGTTAACGAAGTTATTGAAATCACTGGCAAATTTTTCCGTGATAATGTTGGCTGTAATTAAATTACTATTTCCAGTATCCGATTATGTTTTTATATTTGAATATGCTATTTTTATACCTTCCAACTTTCCTTATGTAAAATTTACTTTTTAGCAATAAAAACAATAAAACTATTATAGCCTTTATTACAACCATTACGAACACGATGTGTATACTGTAAATAAATCGATTATGACGCAAAAAAAAAAAATATAACTGGAGTACAGTTAATAAGCTTTTTTTTTAGGTTTTTAGGTTTTTGAAGTCTTGGACGAACGAAATTGGTAAGTTCGACCTCGATCTTGAATTTTTTTTTAGAGGGTGGAGGTTTCTTAAGTAGACTGAATCCCGGTGAATCGGAATTAATTATAATTCATATTTATAAAATTTTTACTTAAACCTGCAATATTTTAAAATTTTAAATCATCAGATTATATAAAGATGTTTTTGTCATAATAAATTTTCATTATTTATTTAAAAAAAAATTTGGAATTACATAAATAACTTGAGATTGATTTACCTTAATTAGATTGACTCGGGCTGTTGAAGATTTTGTTACACACGACTTTATTTTTATATATATTAACCTCTCTCTCAATTTCTCAAAATTTTAAATTCATATATTCGTTGTTAATTATTTTAATCTTCCAATAATGTCATACTCTTGTTACACAATTTCTCCAGCTAAAAGTGATTATGTACCTATCGGGACTATTGAAAAATTTAACGATCTTGACGTTTATGTTTCAAAACCAAAAGGTGAATCGAAGCCTTTTAAAAAAGCAATTCTTGTTTGTCACGATGTTTTCGGTTGTCATCCAAATACAAAACAATTTTGTGACCTTTTAGCAAAAGCTGGTTACATTGTTGCACTTCCAGATTATTTTCGTGGAAAAACGGCTCAAGTTCAGTCTCAAGGGTAATATTATTTAAAAAAAAAAAAAATTTCGGTTAAAAAAGTTTAATTTTGGCTTTTTATATAGACTTCAGGCTTTAGTCAAATTTGTTTTAGAAAATTTTCCGGCGAAACTTGTCATGAATGATACATTGAATGTTATTAAACATCTCAGTTCAGAATATGGTGCTGAAAATTTTGGATTTGTAGGCTTTTGTACGGGCGGAGTTCTTGGTTCAAAGCTTTGCGCAATTAAAGATTATGATGCTTGTGTATTAATTCATTATGACCCTCTTCAAGCGGAAAACTTTGAAAAATCTCAATGCCCTGTTGCATTTTTACCTTCGCGTGAAGATCAAGACCCTGTAAGTTAAAATTGAATTACATTTTTTTTTGTTATATTAACAAATTTCTAAATAAGTTATATATTTATTGGTTAGCAACCTTTTATTGATGTTATGAAAGATAAACCATTCGCCGAAAAGAATTTTCAAAAACGATTTAGTGATATGGATCATGGATTTGCTGCTTCTCGTGGAAATTGGAACGATTCATTAATTTTTGAAAAAGTTTAACGAAGTTATTGAAATTTGTACCAAATTTTTCAATGATAATCTTGGATATAATTACTATTAGAAACTATTTAGTTATATTCATTTTTCCTATTTTTATTATCTATGATTATTATCTATAATTATTAAAATTGTTTTTTTTAATAATCAATATGTTTTTTGATAATGCTTTTCATTGTGTAAACAATGACGACCTACAATATTTATGTAAATCATTATGACGTTATTGAACCATTAACATATGTGATATGATCGCCGACATTAACCATTATAATTAAAACAAAGAAACGAAACTAACTCCGGAAAGTTAAGAGAAATTATGGACGTACACTGACCTTTATAAAATTACTTTTTTTGGACAAATTTTATTACATTATAAATCTTTATCGTTATCTCTCTTACGATAAAAATATCAGTTAAGCAACAATTTTTTTTTTCTTATATTATAATTAATTATAATTATGTAATGCTTAAGAGTTATTTCATTAATACAGTATTAATTTTGTATGAAGTGTACAGGATTAATTATTAATTAGTAACCCATAAAGTGTAATTTTTAAATCTTATCAAATCAATTTTATGAATAGTTAAGTTTATATCAACAAATATAACAAATAACCATAAAAGTCAATAAATTAAATCATCTCGCAAGTAGAATTATTCGAATATCTTAAATTCATGATATAATGACATTGTGTGTTAATTGTATCTCGATATGAGATATGATTCAATTTTAAAGTTTGTTTTAGTTCTTTAATTCATTAAAGAAATTTGTTGATCTCTATCAAAAAAAAAATTGATATGTTAATATTTTAAAATTTACATTGTATCCATCGTGATATTAACTTATACGAATAACGATAATAAAAACGATTTAATTGGTCACATGTAATGTGTACCTGCACTACAATAATTTCGGCCAACATCAGGTTGATCAATATTCGACCATTGGAACCGTACGTTAAACTAATACTCTCAATGATTGACTCATTCGATTATGTAGACTGCAATGATAAATAATCATTTACAAATAAAAGCTATGTATAAAAACATAATTTCATTGGTTGAAGGCATCAAACTATTTTTGTATTTGAAATAATAGATAATAATTTATTGCAATTGAAAGAAAGTATAAAAATTTTAATTTTATAAAAAAAAAAAATAATAAATAAATTTCAGTACAAATGTGATTAAATCTTTTTTTTCTAAATTTATAATATATAAAACAGGACCTCAAGATAAAATCAATACAAAATGAATTTTTAAAATCAAATTATACATCATTAATGGTAGGCTTTCCAGTATTGAAAATATAATTCCAAGCATAGTACCAAAGATGTTGTTGTGAATCATCAGTTGGAATGTCCCCTTTAACTTTCAATTCATCAATCCGTTCTTTAAGTTGTATATCTCCATTATTTTGTAAAGTTGGATTTAAATAATTTAACACATACTTAAATAATAATTCACCAGTAAAATCAGGAATTCCAAGTTTATTAGCACAATAATCAGCTGGTTTAACTCTAACATCTATCTTATATTTCTCTTCTCCTTCCCAACTTTCTTCACTTCCCCAACTCCCATCAATACTAATTTCTGAATGAATACCAAGCACAAACACATGCATGGAAGTTAATAATGAAAATTTGTATTTATGTCCATAACCATCACAATAATAAGGGTGAAGATCTAATGGATCATTAAACCTATGTGAATAATTCGTAATTTTATTGTAATGTTCACTTTTATCTTTATCACTTGAAATTAATAATGTTAAAGATTATAATATAAAGTTATATAAATATGGTGTTAATAAATAATAAAATGCATTATAGATGCTAATATATTAATTTATAACATTACCTTTTAGCTTCTAAGTCTTCACTAGGTAAGATTACAACGGATGCTGTCCAGTCAGTAGATTTAGTACATTCTGTGCCAAATTTGCACATAGTTGTAATTATAGCTGTAATTGATACATTGTCATTTACTGGAGAAGTGATTTTAATCCCAGATCTTTCAACATTACATATTTTATTATTAACTTCTATTTCATCAAAAGATGAAATATCTTTAGTATAAGGAAAAATACCATTAAAAATAGCTTGAGTCTCTGGATCAGGTACTAATGCAAGTTTCTTTTTTTGCTTTAAAGGATATTTACTAATTATATCATTTGCAATTGATAACAAATCTTTATCAAGTTTTAAAAGTTGAGGATAATTATCAACTGCAAATTGACGAAACCAGCCTTTAGTTAATGTAGTACAAATTTTAACAAGCGCCATATTGTAAGAAGTTTCTTGATTATTAGAAGTCATTGGAATAAGATATCTTTCAAGTGCAATAGCCATTGCTTCTTCTTTTACACAATTAAGTTTTGTTTGATAGTCAATCTTTTCAAAGAGAGATTTCTTCATCCATGCTTTAGACTAGTATATTTGTTGAATTAAATATTAACTATCAAATTTTATGTACAAAAATATTTAATAAATTTTAAATCATACCTTATCTTCTTTTAAACTTTCATAAATTGGGTGATCACCATATTTAACGAAGAATACGTCTTTGTACAAAAAGATTATCATTATTATCCAAAAATTCTTCATTAGTCATATTCAAATTAATATGTGCACCCGGTATTCCTCGTATATTTTCAGTTTCCTTAATACGAGTCTTCAACAAAAATTCAATTAGTTCATCACGTTGTGGATTACATAATGGTCTTATTATTGACATATCTTTATAATTCAATATGTCTCTTAATAAATGCAAATCTGCAATATTTTTATGAAAATCAGTTGGCCAACATATATGAGACGTTTTTAAGGCTTCAAGGATTTTTAATGGAGCAACAATACATAAAAAGTTTGATGGTAATGGGAACAATATTTTATCTTCAACGTTACAACACAGTTCTAAAATCATTAACCCACTTGCTTTTGGTTGAGTATAATCAATCCTTTCAAAATCAATTTTATCAATTTCAAAATAACCATCATCATTATTTCCAATCTCATCATAATCTAAAACCTCATTTGATTTCATTTTTTTTAAATTAAATTTATCAGAAACAAGTTCAATATCAAAAATGATAGAACTTTCATCTTTAGATATATATCTATCAATAAATTCTCCAATGATTTTTAGTCCACCTCCTGGATAATAAACCAATTTTATATATTTAAAAGTTTTACTAGTTTTAATTTCATTAATAATTGAAATTGATTGTGAAATTGTTGCTATTAAATCCCAATCATTTATATCACGAAAAGAAGGAATATGCCATTTTGCAGCGCAAGAGCCAATAAGTACAGGATAATCTATAATAGAAGTACTGTCCTCATCATTTTCAATGATTTTTTTCAAGATGGTTAATATTGTCTTAGCATTATCACGAGCAAGAATTCGAGGTTTAGCAACCATTTTTAAAAATGCATATGCAAAAGAAGAATAAAATATAAAAGAAAAATAAAATATAAAAAAAATAAGAAAAAGAAGATATTTGTATAGTAAAATGACATGAAATAATTCTTAGTCATTATGATACTCCTTTTGGATTGTTTTGTATACTATAGTTTAACAATTTAATGTTACATACATTGAATAAATTAGTCATCTTCCATCATGTCTATTAGCTAATATGAAATCATTATAACTGTATTAATATAGAATCTTTATTGCTATATTGCAATTTTTTTTTTTTACGAGTTTTTATTAAAATTAAAATTCATGCTTTTAACCGGACATAATTCAAAAGATTTGAACATAATATTATTCCTTCAATATAGTATTTGTAAACAATATTTATATGTCCTATTGTAATATGTTCTCCATCATAATCATCAATGATATCAAAATGAAGTGATTCTCGTCCCTTATAACTTTTAAAAAAATTTTCAAAAGTATCAATAGAATATTTCCAATATCCACTAACTTTTATTTCAGTTAAAGATTCTGGAGAAAATTTAGTTAAAATATTTAATAATTCATCTCCTATATCATCATTTTTATTCAAACTATGAAGAAATAAACATACTAAATTTCTACAATTCATTAATAATGATGTCCAAGATTTGTAGTTTAAGTAATCTATTTTTGGACAATGAATAGAAATTGCTTTAAGTAACTTTCCTGTATTCTCAGCTGATTTATTAGAAGTATAAGCAGTGATATCAAAAATATTTCCTTTGGTTTTTTCAATTGACATTGCCAATTCCTTAAAGCATAATAAATCATTACCAATATCAAGAGACTGAAGATCTGGAAATTTTGAATTTCCTAACCATTTTTGTAATTCTTTAATCGCTTCACAATTTTCACACTCATAATGAATTGTTAAATATTTTAGATTGTTAAGTGATGTTAAAAATGAATGTGAAATAACACCAACCGAACCACGTAAAATAAGACTATTAATTGTATCTTTTTTTGCTAATGCATTGCTTAATCCCTCATATATTTCTTTCTTAATATTAAAACTAAATTTAAATAATACAAATTTTAAATTTCTTTGTGCATCAATTAATGAAATTAATCCGGGAACATCTTGAAAATAATTATCAACATTTAATTTATTTAAATCTCTGCAAATCTGTGCCATCTCATGAAGACTATTGGAACTTACAAAATGTAAATCTACAGTTAGATTAAAGAGTTGAGAGAAACGTGTTAGAGCTCCCGGAAACGACGTTAAAGGTTGATTAATTCGCCAATCCAATTCTTCAATACTTTTACATTCACTAATAAATGACTTACAAATTTCTCGTTCTAACAGATTTCTTTTACTTAAGTAATTACCTAAATTTTTTTTTCCAAATACCATATTTATAATACCATTTATAATTTCAACTTTTGGAAAATTAAAAAGACTGATATAATTAAACGTTGGGGATTTTGAAAGGGTTGTTTTGAATAATGTAATATCATTATCAAATAAAAGCTGTTTTGAAGAGGTTGGTAGACAGGAAAGTATTATATTAAAAATAATTTTTTTAGATTTCTCATCATTAATAAAATATGTATATCTTTCCCATAAGATAGGAACTATTAAATGGCACCACGCTTTATTAACGAAAAGACATGAATATATTGATTTAAGATTTGTTCGTAATTCATTGAAAATAAGATTAAGACAAACTAAAATAAAATAAAATGGAAAAATTAAATATTGATTGTTTATTTTAGTTTATTCAAAAAGGAATAAAAAATCATTTATAAAGTACATTTACTTTATATGTAGATTTGGAAAATACACGTTTTGAGATAGTCTCCAACAATTGGCTGGGGTGTAGATCATTTGCGTGGCACAATGACAGCCAATCATTCAACACCCACTTCAATATTGAATACTCTAACTCTATAATATATCAATTATTAATCTCTTAAAATCAATCAATTAATCAATCAATAAAAACTAAATATCTTTTTTGATTTGTTATTTCAAAGAGTATGGGTTAAATTGGAACAGGTTTAATTAATAGTAGTGCTCATAAATCTTTGGAAATGTAATCATCAATTTTTGATAATCTTGAGAAGATTATTGATTGACAAAATAATGAAACCAATTTTTTAAAATTCATTTAGTAAAAATAGATATAAAAAATTAGAAAATCTGAAAACTTTTAAAAGTCTAATATGGAGAATGATTAAATTATTTAATTTGTATTTTTAATAATATATATCCCATTACATCTTATTCATTTGTGATAAGGATAAATGGATCATTAAAAATATAGATTATTTGTTGAATTTGAAATTGAGAATAAATCAATAGACTACCATTTTTGTCAACTATGCTAATGTCTTTTATAATTGCAATTATGTCACGTACACAAAAACGTAGTGATGTATGCCTTACTGAGACCAATGACTTCATCTACTGATATTGTAAGAGAAAATTTAAAATTAATTTGTATGTTCATTCTTTTAATATTTTTTTTTTTTGCCCTCAAGAATCTCTCTGCAAATTATAAAAAAAACCTAATAATCAAAAAGGGTGTTTGGCGACCAACTGGCAAATTTGGTCCATGAGGAGAACGAGACTAACAAGTTGTTCAATGACACAGCTTACAGCTTACCAAAAGAAAAGAGCTCAACAGCTTTCAAAATCTAAACAGTTTTCACCTATTCCCTTCAAGTCTCAGAATCAAGGTTCTCAAGGATCCTACAAAGGCAAAAATCGAAACTATTATGCGTCTCATTCACAATCCCAAGCTCAAGGAAATTTTCAATCCTTTTGTATTCATCAATTAATGCTACACCAATTGATTCCAATTTTTCAGTGTTACTCAAGTAATAATTGTTCACTTTCAGAAAAAAAATTTTTGTATTAATATAATTAATTAATATAGCAAATTGAAGTTGCAAATGAAGTCATATAAATATTTAAGATAAATTGTAAGTTGAAATAATTCTATCTGTAAGTATTATATTGGGATTGTTACGATACTGTAATTTATCGCTTCTACGATCAAGGAAATCTTTTCAATATTGGCTAAAATTACTCTATCAACAACATTCTTTCGGTAACTTCAAGAAAAAGAATACCAATGTCATAACATTTGCATTTATGCAAATTAAGAAATTTCTTAATAACTTGAGCTAACAGGAAAAGTAATCTACTAATGTTAGTTCAATTTTAAAGCATTAACTTTTAATAATGAGAAAAGTTATTAAATTTTTCAATCGAAACAAAATAATTTCTAATATTATTCACATTTCTTCAAATTTTAATATCTTTGAAAAAGCATTAATATTGACTAAAGTTATTCCTTATATTAAATAGTTATTGGATAGGAATAGGAAGTCTCATAATCAGTAAAATCCCGCATATTATTAATATCGGATTAAATTAATGTAAATTTTATTAATCAACCTAATTTACCTAACCTAATGCGAATCAATTAAACAATTGCACAGTTGTTTTTGGAAAACAGTAGTAGATCATTATTTACCCATTTTTAAATATTTTTCACACGCCCGCAAAAGATTTTAAGGAAAACGTCTTTGTTCCTTGGAATTTTTTTAATTAAAAATATACATTTTTTTTGTTTACAACTCTGTAGAAACGGAAAAAAATATCAATTAACTTTAAAAAAGATTTTACGATGAGTGGTATATTTTAACTTCTAACATTTTTCTTGCCAAAAGATTCTAGGAAATTAATTATTAAATTTAATATAGTCGGTATTGATTTGGGAACGTCATACTCTTGTGTCGGTGTTTGGCAAAATGGTAGAGTCAAAATTATTGCCAATGACCATGGTAATCGTACAACGCCATCATATGTCGCTTTCACTAATACGGAAATTCTTATTGGAGATGCCGCCAAAAATCAAGCCTCTATGAATCCTCATAATACCGTATTTAGTGTTCATCGTCTCATTGGTCGTAATTTTAATGACCAGGACGTTCAATCCGATATGAAGGTATGTTCAATATAATAAAAGTGAAAATTCTCCAAAAATAAGAAAAAAAAATAAATTAAATTATTATTCAAAAATTTGGGTTATATAACAATTAAAAAAATCTTTCAAATATATTAGAATTGGCCGTTCAAAGTCGTCAACAATAATGGTAAACCATATATCAGTGTTGGATACAAATATAAAAAGAAAATATTTTCTCCCGAAGAAATTTTATCCATGGTATTAACAAAAATGAAAGAAATCGCAGAAGCTTTCCTTGATACACAAGTTAAAAATGCCGTAGTTACAATGCCAGCTTACCTTAATGATTCTCAACGTCAAGCTATAAAAGATGCAGGGTCGATAGCAGGTTTGAATATACTTCGTATCATTGCTGGACCAACTGCAGCGGCCATTACTTACGGATTGGACAAGAAAATAATTGGAGAACGTAATGTTCTTATCTTTGATTTGGGTGGTGGTGCTTGTAATGTCTCTCTCTTAACTATTGAAGAAAGGGTTTTCCAAGTAAAATCCATTGCTGGTAATGCCCATCTTGGTGGTGAAGATTTTGATAGTCGACTTGTTGATCATTTTGTAAATGAATTTAATAGAAAATTTAAGAAATATATCTCTTCCAATGCACGTGCTATCCGTCGTTTAAGAACGGCGTGTGAGCGTGCGAAATGTACACTTTCAGCATCATCACGAACTTCCATTGAAATTGATTCTCTTTTTGAGGGTATTGACTTTTATACCTCTTTGACACGTACCAGATTTGAAGAATTGAATCAAGATCTATTCCGTTCTATAATCGAACCTATTGAGAGAGTACTTCAAGATGCTAAAATTGACAAAAGTCAAATTAACGAAATTGTTTTGGTTGGTGGATCATCACGTATTCCCAAAATTCAAAGAATGATATCTGAATTTTTTAATGGAAAAGAACTAAATAAGTCCATCAATCCCGATGAGGCTGCAGCTTACGGTGCTGCAGTACAAGCTGCTATTTCCTCTTCCTCTGGTTATATTTCTGAAAAAACTCAAAATATACTTCTACTTGATGTCACTCCTTTATCTCTTGGTATCGAGACTGCTGGTGGTGTCATGAAGCGGATTATTAAACGTAATACCACAATACCTACTAAGAAATCTGAAATTATGTCTACAGATCTTGATAATCAGTCTAGAATATTACTTCGGATATATGAAGGTGAAAGTACCCGAACAGGAGATAACAACTTACTCGGAAATTTTGAATTTTTTGGTATTAAGCCAGCACCAAAAGGTGTTCCAAAAATTGAAATTACCTTTGATATTGATGAAAAAAGCATTTTAATCGTATGTATTTATTTATATGAGTATATAATAATTCTACAGTTATATTAATTATGTTTTAAATCCTTACTATTATAGGTTTCTGCTGTTGATAAAGCAACTGGCAGATCAAATAAGATTACCATCACTAATGACAAAGGACGATTATCGAAGAGAGAAATCGAACGCATGGGTGTGAATCATTCTTTAATATTCAGATTTTAATAATAATTTTACACTAATATATGATTTTTATTTTTAAAAATAACAGCTTCCGAGGCTGAAAAATATCATGCAGAAAGAAAGAAAATTGCTCAAAAAATGCAAGCACGAAGTGATTTGGAATACTATGCGTATAACTTACGTAATTTGGTTCAAGTAAGTTTCTCAATTAACTGCTAAAGTTATTTCTGTTCGATCAAACTTATAATCTTGTTTAAAATGGACTCAAATTTAGAATATTGATGATATAAAGAATAAACTTGAAATTGCAATAGATAAATCAACTACATGGCTTGAAAATAATCAAGAAGCAGGAAAAGATGAATATGAACGGGAACAAAAATTACTTAAAGGGATTACCGACCAAATAATAATTGAACTTAATAGCGTAAATAATCCTTCATAGTTATCTTATTTTAAAATATGTTTTATAAATTTCATGAAATTAATCATGTCATTCTGTAATCGATGACATATGGCATTATTTTCGTTTTTATTTATATTGCATTCCTGGATCAAAATTGTATAATATGATTGATGGCTATTTTTATTTTAGAAAGAATTATTAAATACATATAAAAACGCATATTCATACCTTATCAATACATAGTTAAAAGAAGAAAGAATCTATGAAACATTCTGAAAAGAATAACAAATACTCATTTCAGCGCGGGTTAACTTTACTTACTGAGATAGTAGTTACAATAATTGTAGCGGTATGATAAATTTTGCGTGATCACTGGCAAATTATTTGTTGTTAATAGAAATAAGGCCAAGATTATTGCATTTCTTAGCTACATATTACGAAACTAATACCTCAAGGTCTTGAGTTTGCGCAAATAATCAAAATCATGTAGATCTTGCCTTTTATGTACAATTTTGGTCAAATTTTTATTACTAGATACAGGCCGACATTATCTTAATTCCGGCCCTGAATGAATGCGTACAACGATTATTAACAACTATATTAGATATTATTATTATTATTTTGCTTTGGGTTAACTAATAAGTTCTGGCCACAATTTATTTAAGAAAATGGGTAAATGGATAACTTTAATATAACAAAAATGCGAACATAATTATAATGGAAAGAACAATCAAATTGAAAGTGAAGAAAATGTTACGGAAAGGTAAAAAAGGATTTGACAAAGTTAAACTTAAATATAACATTTGATAAGTAAGATCGTCGAGCACCTACCCAACATGTAAAAAACTACTATATTAAAACTAGATACAGCTCGCTTCATTATATTCATCATCTTATCGTGGGAGACTTTGTGATTAAGTTCGGTATCAAAAATTATTATTTAATAAGCGGTAAATCGATGATTGAGACTAACAGACAGTTATTTATCCATTTAAAATTCATATTATTATTATTTTTCAACATCTAAACTGCAGTAATATCATAATAATGAAAAATGTATGTCGAGCATTTATTTTTCTTAGACGCATATTATACTGTAATTAAAGTAAAAAACAAAGTTGTTAAATCACTGTTGCAGAGGTGAATTAAACTAAGCATAATGAACAAAAAATATATATTCAAGAATATTAGTTACTGCTTCTTTATAAGTTGGTTTCAAATTTTATTAATAATTTTACCTACAGTATAAGGTAATTTTTAAAAATTATAAATAAAATATAGTAAAGTAAAATTTAACTTATTTTGTAAAATCAATAAATTCTATTGAATTATTATTGAGTTTGTTTTTTATATCCATCTGCTTCTTTTAGTGCCGTCTATTTTTTTTTCAATTTTCATAATAAGTTTAAATTATGATGTATCCAACATATATGAGCAACGAAATATCCAAATTAATTCTTACAGCTCAATAATAGAATTTTGCCTGTTCTTTGGGTTTGAACCCCGACACTTTTCATTAAATCAATATAACGATATCGTGATTTGTGATTCGCTGCTATCACGTGATACATCCGATAATAATCTTTAGAATTCTCACTCAGCAGATGTATAGCATGAATTGAAACATGCATTCTCGGCTTCGCTCAAAAATATACATTTATCTAATATATCGTTCTATTTATTATTATTATTTCAATAGTATATAAGAATAAATTCTAATAAATTTACAGTATTTTAAAAAATAAGCAGCGTAGCGCAGAGGAAGCGCGCGGGGCCCATAACCCCGAGGTCGGAGGATCGAAACCTTCCGCTGCTATGTCATATTTCTTTTTTTCTTTTTATTTTGCTTTTTTTGAAATTATAGATATGACTCATCATATGTCATTTATTCATTACTGCGCAAAAGGCGCAAACTGCGCATGTTAATTGCTGCGTATTGGAAATTACTTTCCAAATACGTTTAATAAATAATTTCATTTTATGCTTCTAATATAGGATTGGAAATAAGAGTGCTAAAGATTTAATATTTATTTTACTATTATAAATATTAATTCAAGCTACGATAAGACCTGAAATGAGTTTAAGATCATGTTTGTTTGTTTTTCGCTGCGTAATCCATATTGATGCTATGATTGGATAATATTTGATATACTTACAATAACATTAATAACATTTCAGTGAATTCATACATTAACTACGGTATCAGGGGTAAAGAAATAAATATATAATTTATATTAGCGACATTTATCAATTATTATTTAACTAAACATATAATTCTATTTTTTTCTTTCTTCTTTCTTCACCATTACACGATTTAATTGAATTGATATTTGGTGAAATAAACAGTTTATAATCTACTATTTAAGTGGAATTGCAAAAGTTATTCATACTAGAAGCTGCAATTTAAGAGATGATAGAGATGATTTAACTATACTGAAATGAAATTGCCTATATAGACCGCCAGAATTTCTCAAGTCCATTTTTAATCTCAATCCCGTTGTTAAAGTTCAAGGTGTAAACTTCTTTATCATAATTGGTTTTGAGCCAATTTGCTATTGCAAAAGCAGTAGTTGTCTTGGCACTCTGCCGATGCCCATATAGGAGACAGAACTTGTCATTAAGGAGAGAATTTCCCAGCTTTTTAGGTTCAATGTAGTAGTTAATTGCTTCATACACCCTGCTTGAAGACCAGGTCCTATACAAAAAAAAGTATTTGACTCAGATATTCAACTTTTGCAAAGCAGATCTCCCACTTTTTATGTCAATACTTTTTCTGTCGTCCGAATCATTCAGGTTTCTTTTTCCTATTGAGGAAAATCATTTAACGTGTTACAAAGAAAAAAAAGAGATCAGAACTACATATTTCTTGTTCGAGAGGTAAAAACATGAAAGACACTTACCAATAGAGGGCACATGTACGATGTTGTGGATGTTCTCCAGTACAAGTATAATTGAAAAATACTAGTCAGGTTTCATCATCTCGCCACTAAGAATGTCTTTAATGTTATTTTCTTCAACTTTTTCAAGCAGGTGTTCTTCATTTTCAGCGATGTCAACCTTCCAAAGGTCCAGATCGGACCAATCAATGTTTTTTTTCTCATATACTTGAGATGTCCAATTTTGAGTAAATCATATTCGACTGAGTATTACCAATTAAGCTGCTTTTAGCAACGGTAACCTAAAAACTTTCATTAGAAGTCTCTCCTAAGAGTAAACAATTTAATGAAATTCCATTTCGGAAATATTTCTGTAAATTAATAAAATGAATTTTTAGACAAAGAAGTATTTTATTAGAGGAAGAAATTTTAAAAAAAAACTGAGAAAGTTTGAATACCGTCATGACTAATAATAAAATAGACTCTTGATCAGTGGCTTATAATGACGATATAGGTAAAATAGTATAAAAAAGTAAAAAAATTAGTTTATCAGTAAAAATTTATGCGAAAGAAATGATTAATAAGGTCTGCATGAGAGTATTTATATTAAAAAAGTTGAATCACTGTTACGCAATTTTTGGAAACTATTTCATACCAGAATTTAGTAGTCCATGAATCCACGATACAACTGAAACATGCGCCGCAATGTCGTAATATGCTGATTTTGAATTTTGATGAACTGAAATTTATGTTAACGACTAAAATTACATTCAAAATCGGTGTAAATACTAATCTCGTTATACTTTCAAATAAAAAAAACTAATTTATTCATCTAATTAGTATTATTTATTTCATGAGGAGTTGGAAATAATAGGGTTTCCCTTTCCAGGAAATAAATGGGTAATCAATCCCCTGGAGCGTGTCACTTATTAAATAACTATTTTAACTACGGTATTTTAAACTCAAAAATTAGTATGAAGGCAATCATGAGTGACACTTAGTGCGACAGGGGATTACTTAAAAAATTTGCGCCACTTTTTTATTTATTTTATTATAAAAATAGTATAATTATAGTTCTTTTTGTGTAAACTATTAATGAAAAAAAAAGTAAAAACAGAAAAAGAAAAAATGTATGGAAAGTAATTTGGGAAGCTGGGACAATTGGTACATCTCTGGCACATGACAATGTACAATAACACTTCGGACTTTAATTACTCATATCGGTCATATGAATAAAAAGTACTGTACTTACGCGAAAAAAATTGCTAATAATTCCTTATGACGCGTAACACATAATCTTGATGTTATCGTCATGAGTAATTTCAAATAATATAAATAGCTTACCTTTTAACGATTTTGACTTCTTTTTATCTTTTTTTTTTCAACTTCTTTTTAACTTTTTTTTTCAACTTCTTTTTAACTTTTTTTTCCGACTTCTTTTTATCTTTTTTTGACTTCTTTTTTCTCCTTTTTTTCATCATCTTTTTTTTTTCGTCTTTTTTTCCGTCTTCTCTTTTTTTCATCTTCATTTTTCCGTCTTCCTTTTTTTTCTTTTAGGTCTGTCTTCCCCCTGTCTAGGTCTTCGCCCCCTTTTCTTTACGTCTTCCTTTAGGTATGTGGGATGGGAGTGTGGGTTTGGGTGTGGGCTGGGAGTGTGGGTGTTTGGGTTGGGAGTGTGGGTTTGAGAGTGGGTTGGGAGTGTGGGTTTGCGTGGGTTTGGGTATGGGTTGGGAGTGTGAGGTATGTGGGTTTGTGTGTGGGTTTGGGTGTGGGTTGGGAGTGTGGGTTTGCGTGGTGTGGTGGAAGTGTGGGTTTGGGTGGGTTGGGTGCGTTGTTTTAAAATCTTTGTTTTTTTTTCATCTTTTTTTTAGGTCTAATTGTGATGAACTCTTTCGTTGTTGCTGAGAACTCCCATACCATTCAAAAACGTCAGGAAGTCTTCTCTTAGGCCTCTTTTCTTTACATCTTCTTTTAGGTATGGTACGGGTTTTGGGGTGGGTTGGGAGTGGGTTGGGAGTGTGGGTTTGCGCGGGTTTGGGTATGGGTTTGGGTATGGG